TATCGGAGATTATTTTGCGGAAAAGGTCCCAGTTTACTGGGCCCCTAATGAATGACGGTGGAGAAGGTTTGGGAACAGGTTCAAGTGAAACATTAAGGATTAGAGGACTATGGTCAGAGGAAAGTTCATTTAGACGTTTAATGGAACAATTGAGGGGACTTAAGCCGCTGTGGATAAAGAAATCAAGAAGATCAGGATTACGGTTGGGATCTGTGGGCCAGTAGGTAGGAGAGTTGGGGGAAAGGAGGTGAAAACGTTGGGAATTGAGTGCAGACAGCAGGGTTCGGCCACGAGAATTCGTGGTTCTGGAACCCCATTGTTGGTGCTTGGCATTTAGGTCTGCACCCAAGATGAAGTGATGTCCTAAGGAGTCGAGGAGAGAACTGAATTGGGCATTGGATATGGATCGGTTAGGAGGGCAATACGCTGATGCAAGAGTGACCGGAAAGCAGAAGGTTTTTATCACGATAGCGGTGGACTGTAGGAAATCATGTATTGGTAATGGGAGTACGTGATGGGAGAGGGATTGGTGTACAATTACAGCAGTACCGGCATGTGCTTTTCCGTCAGGGTGGTCAGTACGATATGTCAGGTATTGTGGTATATTGAAGTGCTGTTTAGTGGTTAGTCGACTTTCAGTAATTAGTGCCACATCAATGTTCTTGTCAAGTAGTAAAGTAGATAGTTCGTCTGTATGATTTCTAACACCATTCGCATTCCAAAGGAGAATGGATATGGGTTTAGGGATGTGAGTCATTTAAGGATTTTTCAAAGGAGGGATGAGGTGAGATACGAGATTCGTGAGGAGTGATATGAGTGGAGTAACAAGGGATTTGAAATCGGTGAGGAAAGATGCTAACAAACTTGTGAGATCTGTTGCATTTGAAGGAGGAGGAATATGAGGAATTTGTTGTTGGTGGTTAGGTATATTAGGATGAAGAGGATTTTGAGGTTGGGTTTGAGGTTGTTGTGGCAGGGCTTGACATTTATCGGTTAAAGTCTTACCTCTAAGTAGTTGGGAGAATGATACATCATTGTTTACAATTCTGGAAGGCTCTCTCTCTCTTCTTGTTCTTAGTGCTTCATCTTGAATCCGGTTTTTCTGGTGTCTGGTTTTGAGATTCTTGTAAATTTGGCAGCCTTTGTAGTTGGCCGGGTGTCCCTCCAAGCATAGGGCACATACTGCTGGATCTTGTATAGGTTTGGTGCACTCTACAGATTTGTGCTGTTCACCGCACTTCACGCAACGCGGCAGATGGTGGCAATATGTCTTCGTGTGGCCATAGGTCTGACAATTATGGCACTGCACGATGTCTCTCTTGGGATATGGCTTCTCAACTTTCACCATTGTGTAGTATATTCTTGTGATATCATATATTTTTTCGATACCTGGTGATGGCTCCAAGTCCACGAAAAACAATGGTAGTGGGATCCTATTTCGTAATCCTGGCTGCTCCCTGTCCTCCTTCAAAACGTTTGTTACCTGGCGTACATTGAAACCAAGCGTCGTTAGTTCTTCTTTAATAACTTCAGTGGGGGTTGAGGAATGTAAATTTCTTATCACTACTCGTAAAGCTCTTTCCTGCCTCAGCTGGTAAGTGTGAAAATTCGCATTTGTTTCTGATAAGTACTTCACTATTTTTCGGTAGGCTTCTGCAGAATCAGGTGTTATTTTGGTGTCATTGGTCCTGTTAAGGCATGAATAACTGCCAGAGCAGATTTTATTTAGTTGGGTGCAGAACATCTGGAAATTTTTTATATTTTTCACAAATATCGGAGGAGGCTTTGGTTCTCTGGGTATTGCTGCAGACTCCATTACTTCTCTGTCATTTTGAAGCACTTGGTAGGGGTTTGGAGTAAAGAAAGGTGATTCTTCAATCGTTTCTTGTGCAGACGTACCTGGTTGGGGCTGAGGTTCTGGTTCTGAAGTGTTCATTTTGGTCACAGGAGGTATTTCTCGTAGGCAGCGACGAGTCCTTTGTTTGGCTGGTGAGCTAACTCCGTCTGACCGAGACCTCTTGGGCACCTTACTGGCCATCACTTGCTGATCATACCGCATATCATAAGAGAAAAATAAATAAATAAATAAAAAAAAAAAAAAAAAAAAAAATTTTTTTTTTTTTTTTTTCCCTAAAATAACAAAAAAAAAAGATGCCAACAGTAAATATCAACTGCTCTGATATACACTTAACTGTATCACGTGAATAATCAGAGAGATTCCGCTATAAAATTGGTAAAAACTGAGAGAGGAGTTGAGGAGACAACCTTCTCATCAGCTGATCCACTGCCTTCCTCATATCAAATATTAAGTTTTTTTTTTCTTCCAATGAAGAGTAATTACTTTAGAGAGGCTGAGTGTTCCTCAGAAGAGTCCCTCAAGCTGAGGGATAATCAACGGCTGATTAAGTATATATATCAATATAAGTAATAATTATGTGATAACTATAAGTAATTATTTCATTAAAAAAATTATAAGTAAATAAACATTAGTAAGAAAAATAATTGAATAAGATTTTAATGTCCACCCCTCAGTGACATTTAATCCTCATGATCATCGGTGGTAAAAAAAAAAATAGAAGTGAAAAATTAAAAAATAATGAATTAAACAAAATAAATTTAAATCATATAAATAAGATTAATTCTATCTGATAAAATGGATAATGGCAATAACCATTATTGGCGTACTTATAAGGCATTGCGTGTAGAGGCTGTTTGCGACGTAACCAGATGGACAAACACATGATCCTTTTTCACAAACTGATCCTGTCATGTCACAGTCATCTCCAGTGGAACAATCATCGGTAGACTTCACATTTACAACTAGAATGATTTTAGTATTTTTATTATTTATATAATAACTATATATTCAATAATTAGAATTATTCAATAACTATTGCACAATATTATATATATTTGAAAATAAATAATACCAAATATCAGAAGGATGAGTACATAAACTTCCATTATACCGGTGAGACTGACATAATCTAATCAAAGCTGCACCTGATCCCTCTTGAAGATTGATAACACATACTCATTGATATGTCTAGTAAATGATGAAGAAGCTATTTTCATTTACTTTTCTTTTCTCTTTTTTTTTTTTCTTAATGGTACAAATTTATTGGAATATATAATGCTTAATTTAAATTACACATTATTTTAATGTGAATAAAATATAATATAATGTGACTTTTATTCAGACTAAATGTTTATAGATCTAAATAACAAAAAGAAATAAAAATAGCTAATTAAAATATTATATTGAACTATATAATCGTAATGAACTTTAGGAATTACGTGTTAGAAGGAAAATCAGCAGATAACTTAGAAAACAAAACAAGATTTTTTCTAATGAAAGAGAAATAAATTAGAAAACTCTTACTACAATCCCTAATCAACTTCCCAACCTTGTCTGTTCTGTTTTTATTTAAAGCGAAGTTTTCAGCCCAAATTTGGGTCTTATTCAATATTAAAACAGATAATTAAAAAAATAATACAAAACAAGAAATGATGAAAACTAATGAAAATAGAGAGGAAATAAAAGTAGCAAAAAGAGCGAAACTGGATCACTTTCAAGAATCTGTAAAGGTATATCTACTAAGAATCAGTAAATTATTTATGTAAAAATAACTAATTTAGTTTGTAAAATAACAAAATCACTAACACATGGAAATGTAATGGAGTTGTACAAAATCCTTTATTTTATAATTGTATCACATAAAATATCTATTTTTGTTTTAACATAATAAACTGTAACCATTTTAATTAAATAATCCAAACAAACCACCCTTCATAGTTTCTAAATAATGCTTCTATAAGATTTAAAATATAAGTGTCAGATTTATTTAGAAATAAATTCCAGAAAGGAATTTTTATTAAACAGCCAAAGATATCAAAAAGAAGTAATCAGCTATCTGGCATTACACGCCAGCCTAATGTAGATATTCTTTTAATTCTGCTGTTATTCTAAGTGGACTTTAGTTCCAGAATAAAATTATTATTCATTTGAGTTATCAAATGGTCTATTAAACACAAGACTTTAATCTATAAAACCTACAAATTTCGCATGGCGAATCTCAAAATGAACAACCATCAATGGTATAAAACTATAATTGTATTCACAAGTATAATTCCCCAAAAAATGATTTTAAAAATCCATTTAATAGACAAAACAAAGTCTGAAATTTCAATAATAACATTAAAACAATTTCAACTATCAACTTGATTTAAACTCTACAATCAAAATTCTCATGATTAGTGCAATAGGTATGATAAAAATATGAATAACAATAAAAAATATTTTTTTATTACATTATTTACAAACAGATTCAAAAAGAAAACTATATAGTTTAAAAATTTTGTACATACATATTATAAATTATTTAATTTTATATAAATCAACATTTTTAATGTACATACCTAATAATTATATTTACAATACAAAAAAAAAAACTTGTTTATAATGTAGTTGAGCTGACATTAGAAAAAATAATTACTGTAATTTTCCTATCTTCAGTAAGAAAACAGAAAATTAAAATAAATGAAACAGTAGGAAATCAGACAACAGGTCGGATTTCAGGTACATGTTCAATACAATATAAATTTTTAATTATATTTATAAAACAATAATAAAGAGAAAAATAACATTCATTGTTAAAAATATTTCTAATTAATATAGAAAAAAAGGTTTTAAAATTATTCCTCTGTTACAAATATACATTTTATCCGAACATGGATACCTTTTTTGAAACAGAAGTGATTTAGACTTAAACTTCAACAGGTATAAATGAATTGAGTACATTTTTAAAACACTGCATAACATTCTGTTAAAGTTTGATGATACCGAAAATTTATCTCCATAATACTTAAAATAAAAAGTAAAAAAGGTAAATGATACCTTATAAAAATATATTATATCATAAACAGTTTTTATGATAATTAAATGGTACAAATGAAAACAGCCAGATCAAAAAAACTCATAACAATTTAAAAATTATTCATGAAGTATCAATCATCAAATTATTTACAACTACTATACAGTTTTTTGCTTCCTTCACTTTGGACCAACGGCCCAATTTATGTTCTTGTCCGATACCCAACACAAGGTAATTATTATCAGAACTAAAAACCATTGAATTAATGAACCCTTTTACAGGGATTGAATAAAACTCTGTAAAATTTCGATAATTATCAGCACAGTTCCAAAATCTAACTTTCCCATCATTTGATCCAGAGGCAAATACTTCTGAATTTGGTATACAAGCAATACTCGATATCCAATAAGGCTCACCTGTCACAGGATCGAGTGAATGAGCGGCTTCTACCTTTACTAAAGGTTTTTTCTTTGAGGTTGCCCATAAATATAAAGAACCATCTTCGCTACAAGAAACAAAATGAGCATCATCAAGTCTTCTAACTGAATCGATACTCCTAGTATTACCGTTATAAATTAATTGAGTCTCCTCTTCGATCTTCCAAACCCTGCATGTGCTATCGGTACCACCTGACGTTACTGCCCTACCTTTGCATAAAACATCGATGCCTGTAATGCATTCATGATGACCAAACAATGTTTCTATATATGCTTTTTCAATCATGCTCCACACTTTCACAGTCTTATCTTTTGAACAGCTATATAAATTTTGGGTTATCTTACAAAATGCCAAGCCAGTAACAGATGCTTTATGTCCTAAAAAGCTATGATAATGTTTAAAAGTATCCGCCTCCCAGATTTGAATGACCGCACCTTCATCTGATGAGGCCAAATATTTATCATTTTCAGAGAGAGCAAGCGAGAGAATAGAAGATGAGTGCAATTTTTCATTAGATTTATCTTTATGTCTTGGAGGCAGACATTTAACTTTAGAACCATCAATAGTCCATTTAACTATGTAACCATCTTTAGAACCGGAATATATATGTTTACAATCCGATGACAATATAACAACAGTTATTGCCAACTTATGCTCTTTACACTTTAACACTTTGATGTTTTCCTCACTAATTTCCTTATTAAAATTTCCCAAGACTTTCTTCTTGAATTTGCCTGCCTCAATAAGTACATCTACTTTAAGTCGATCCAGCACACCTTCATCCACTGCTTCATCATTTTCTAACTTCTTATTCTCCTTTTCTTCAATTTCTTTAAAATATGATTTAGCAAGTTGAGACTTTTTTTCCGATGCCGTTAAAAGTTCTTCTTCAGATTCTTTTCCAAGGTCTTTATAATGAACTTCTTCATCATCACTAGGGATCTCCTCATCATCTGACTGCCGTGGAAACTTCGGAAGACTCTTCTTTACCTTTTTGGGGTAATGAACCTTTGGTTTGTTAGCTTTTCGTTTTAAAACCCCATTTGGTTTATTGCTCGGTTTTCTGATGAAAAAATTAGACATTATTGAAACTAAACAAGTATAACATAAACAACACAGTAACCACGTGTGAACATAACAACCTACTGAACCTTCACGTGAAGGTTATTTACTACAACTTAATTTACAAAGAAAAAGGCATAGACTTCCTAAGAGGTAATAATAAGTTTAATAAATATGTAAATTTCTGGGTGAATATTTAGTTTAGAAAATTGTTGTTTTATATAAACTAGTGTTCGCCCAGTGGTCGAAATTCGACCTTAAACATTAATAATTTGAGGAAAATATATAATCAAATAAAAAATAAATTCAATAAATAAAGAGTAAATCACGATTAAAAAATCCTTAAACTACTTCAAATTATTATAAGTAATACAAAATAGACTCATTCAAAAATACTTAATTTATGTGTGCTATTATCACAATAAATTAATGTTATGTTTAAGCAAATAAAAAATAAATTTAAATTAGCAATTTCAATTCAGTTTAAATCAATTTTTATGTAGAACTTCTTTGTAAACAATGTTATTTTTGAATTTTCTGTTATTGTTTAGTACATTAGCTTGCCCATTGCCATTGAAAATATAAATTTCAAAAGAACGTGCACTACTTGCTGCCGAATATAATTGTCCATGCGAAATTACTGGACGATCCTACGATTTGATTATGGTCATAGCAAATGCAGCTATTAATAAGAGCGTTGTTCATTGACATTCGAATGAAAGTATTGTCTCAGAAAATGTTCAATTAATTCTTGGAATTAAAATTCTTTAATTTAAAGTAGATCCTGTTAGTACTTCACTCTCATTCGTGTTCCATTAACTAATACTTGTACAGTATTTAAGGTAAGAATCAGCACAACTATAGAATTTACTATTAAATTAAATTTATGAGATGACATCCCACTAACATTCAATATCATCTCTTCAAAAAATAGTCCCGATTACTTTAGTAAATGTAAAGTTTTCGAGTTAGCAAAAACCAAAATAATGGAAATCGTCTTGGTAAAAGAAAAAGTACTAAGTGTTTAAAATGATATATCTTTGCAACAAATAGTCCGATTTCGATGATTTTTTTTTAATTTGTAGGGAATTCAGGAAGCTTTCAAACAAATATTGGTGTTATCAATAAAAAAAATTAACTTTTTGAGTTATTCCCAAATAAAATACTGAACTCTTCATAAAAATGTATGCAGCTTGTTTTAGAGAAAGTGTGTTATATACATAAACTATAAATATTTCGGGGGGAAGACTTTAGCCAAGTTTCATTAAAATCATTGCAGCCGTTTTGGCCCTACACTCTACAGCGAATCAAGTTTTTCGACCGCCATTTCGATAGGAAAGGCCTGATGATAATGTAACGTATACAAACACTCCTAAATATTATTGCGACGTTGTGTCAAAATTTCAAATAAATCTGTGAAGAACTTTAGGAGATTAGTTGTTTTGAACCAAATACCATTTATATTTTTATTTACATACATTATTTCATATTTTTATTTATTGATAACACTAAAGCTCGTCAATAGCTATTAAACAAAAAAAGAAGGAAGAAAATTAGTTGAATAATATAGGAGAAAAAGGGGTGGACCGTTTTGTGTTTGCCTCTTTATATAATGAAACTATTATACACTATTACACTCTACTTACTTATACAATATTACTTGCAGCAGTTGTTCAATAGTTCAGCTAGTAGCAAAAATTTAGCATACATTCTAATCTATTACTTTTTAAGACTTAGGGGCCTAAGTATGAATGAAGTTTATTACAATTTCCACCAATTTAAATATTTAAAAAAATAAACATGGCTCCGTTATGGTGAACTTGTATCAGCCAATTTGAGAACCACCCTAGAGGAATAAATACTAAAATAGGAACAAATCGCTAAATTGACAAATAAAAGTCTGAGTGATAGACTGAGATGTAAATGATAATACGGTTTTTTTTTCTATAAAATATGCATTTGCGCCTGTCAACAATAAGTTGACAATCAGCAAATGTGATGCCGATAATGATATAATGACATGACAGGCACGGTATTTAATCTTATTTTTTGAACTGAAGTTTTGAAAGAGTTCGATGAAAGGAGACAAACATATTCACTTATCTCGAAAAATGACTTTTCTAATTGCTTTTAGTTTATATACTTGGCTATATTCCAACAAAAAGAAAGATATTACAATTAGCTTTAATATGTTACAGAATCTTTTATGAAAAATTAAATGTAAAAGTAGAAATGAATTGAAAAGAGCTTCAGAATATGTACAAAGAAAATAATAATAATAACCAAAGACCAACAGTGTGAATCAAATCACAATTGTGTCGAACAAAGAATTAATATCTCTATCCAAAAGGTTTTTGAGGGTGTGAATGGAATATAAGAAGGCATCCATAAAACGTTTATTGATGGAATGATGAAAGATTTAAATAGGACAACTGTTTGGGTCAGCTTACAAGTCACCGTCGTTCTGCGAACTGATAGATGACGGATCTCGCGGAATGGCATGTAAATAATATAAAAATTTTCAAATTTACATTTGGACTCGTATGTTTCTAAGAAATACCTCAAAGTGATATTGGAAAAAATGTAATAGATGATGAGCGCTTGAGGGTTGATAATTTCAAATAATTAATATTTTATTTGTTGATTTGTCAAACATCTCCAATTTGAATTAAAACAAGGCATGGTTTCACTAATTGAGACAATCAAATTTTAGAATATTGCAGAGTGTACAGGCTGATCTGTCAAAGGAACTTCTTTGATGTTGTCTTTTATTTAGTGTTTCTGAAGGGTAGTGACGAATATCTCATATTGACAGCAATAATTTTTTTTTTCTTCGCAAGGTTGTGTAATAGTTGTTTCACTTCCTCCTAACATATTACATTACATTAATAATCCAAGAGTGAATGAAACAATAGCTACTGTTATAAACTCTCTGTGGCGTAAGAATGACTATAGAATCGCGTGGTTTTGAGGCTCTTCAAGCGTTTTCTTCATAAATTTAAAGATACAGTAATTTGTTATACGTAATAATACGTACATTGTTAATTATTGATATTGTGAGGGCTGATGGTCCAGCATGTTGAGGCGTAGGTTCTTGAGTGCCCGGTTTTGAATGTTGTGGGGTCAATCCCCTTTAGGACGGTTAATATTTATTTCTGTGGCCCCGATCTTGACCCTCTCACGCGGTAGAAACCAAAAGGCTTCTACCCATTGGACGCGGTTCCATTGTTCCGGCGATACGATACATTTTTCCGATTATCGTGCTCTATGTGACTGCTATAATGTAATGAATAGTAATACATTACCACCATATCACCAACAGAAATATCGTAACGCTGAAACATATCGCTCTCCGTGTGTAAAAACCTTAAAAATAACTGTTATTGGTTAGTAAAAAGGTTCAAAAGGCACAATTGTTGGGCTAGTTTCCCCACTAGTACGGATATTAGTAGTTATTAATTATATGATTATTATTATTATTGTATTAAATAATAATAATAATAATAATATTAAAGCGGTCGGTAACTCGTGTCTAGGAAAAAAGGAAAATAAGAATAACAAACCGTGGTTTGATGAAGATTGCTTAAACATGTGTGAAAAAAGAAAAGCCGCTAAATTAAAAGCTCTAAATAATCCTAGCGAAGACAATCTGGAATACTTCCGAATCTCAAAGAACGAAACGACAAAATTGCTCAAAAATAAAAAAAGGGAGTATCTTAAAAATAAAATAATTGAAATAGAAACTAATAGAATCGAAAATAACGTAAGAGACATGTACAAAGGTATAAACAGATCACGTAAATATGTAGGGCCCGTAACGTCTGGAATTAGGGATGATAATAACAATATTCTGACCGATCCGGTTGACATATTGAATAAATTTAAGGACCACTTTGACAATATATTAAATACGGGAAATTATGATCTGTGTCCTCCTTCTGAGTACCAGAGTGCTGAACCGTTAATAGAAGGACCAAGTAAAGAGGAAGTTGAAGTAGCTATCGGAAAATTAAAATCATATAAAGCAGCGGGAATCGATAATATTCCTACTGAACTAATTAAGGCATGCGGGGAAGCTGGAGTTTCTAAAATACATCGGTTGGTTAAAAAGATCTGGGTGAACGAGAAATTACCTGAAGAATGGAAAGAATCTATTCTTATTCCGATTCACAAAAAGGGTCCGAGGACGGATTGTAATAACTATCGAGGAATTTCACTCCTTCCGGTATGTTATAAAATATTCACTTTAATCTTAACCAGTCGAATCACGGAATACGCCGAGGAAATTATCGGAGACTACCAATGCGGATTTAGACGGAATCGTTCGACTATTGATCAAATATTTTCTTTACGGCAAATATTAGAGAAAAAATTGGAGTATAACGGTATTGTTCACCAGCTGTATATAGATTTTAAAAAGGCTTATGATTCTATTGACCGCCAGAAACTGTACAATATTCTAATCGAGCAGGGGATTCCAAAAAAACTAGTAAATTTAGTCAGGATGTGCTTGACGGAGACAGTCAATAAAGTTAGAATCGGTAATAATTTGTCCGAAAAATTTGAGGTTCGTTCGGGCTTAAAACAGGGGGATTCTCTTTCGCCTGTCCTGTTCAATTTGGCATTAGAACATGCCATTAGGGAGGTAATGCGAACCGAGAAAGGGTTGGATCTGGGCGGGACAACATCCGTGCTGGGCTATGCTGATGATCTGGTACTGTTAAGCGAAGACGTTGAAACTATAAAACTAAATACGACAACGTTAATGAAAGCCGGTAAAGAACTAGGACTCGAAATAAACGTGGATAAAACAAAATATATGGTTAGCTGCAAAAATGGCGATACTACTGGTGATATCGATATAGATGGTAATATGTTTGAACAGGTAGATAAATTTAGGTATCTAGGTTCTACGATAACTAGAAAAAACGAAATTGAAGAAGAGATTAAGGTTAGACTGAAGGCGGGGAATGCTTGTTATTTTTCTGTGACAAAACTACTTAGTTCGCGCCTCTTGTCCCGAAACTTAAAAATTAGAATCTATAAAACAATTATCTTGCCTACAGTTCTTTATGGATGCGAAACTTGGCCGCTTACATTAAGGGATGAGCAGCGTCTTAAGGTTTTTGAAAATAAAGTATTGCGTAGAATATTCGGACCGAAGAAGGATGAGTTAACCGGAGAGTTCAGACGGTTACACAACGCCGAATTGCGTGAGCTGTATCCGGGTAATATAAGTGAGGTAATTTCATCGCGGCGAATCAAATGGGCTTGTAAAGTTGTTGGGCTTAGTAACGAGAGAATTCCTAAAAGGTTAATATTTGCTGTGCCGAATGGTAAGCGTCCGAGGGGTAGACCGAAGAGAAGGTGGGAGGATTGCATTAGGGCCGATCTGAAGGGACTGGGTTTGGACGGCGAACGGTGGAGGGAGGTGTGTAACAAGCGATTGGTGGTGTCGGCATCGAACCTTCGGGTTCGCTAAGCCTTATTATTATTTATTATTATTAAATAATATGCGCAAGTAGTAAAAACTGGTAGAATTCCTTAGAATTAATAAAATCTTAGATGGATTATTTTCCCCTCCAGTAACTTTTAAGTTAGCAAAGAAGTATTTAAAGTATTAAACTCATTTGTAAATTATGATATCTACTTCAGTGCATATTCTATTTCATGAACGTTACTTACTGATCGAACCGGTGTCAGTGGAGGTTATTCTTGACAACTTAGTATTGTCTATTGTCTTGTTTAACTTAGTATTGTCCATTGTTGTGTTTAGATAGTTTGAAAGATGTATGGAAAAAGAAAACCAAGAACAAGAAATGTATCCCACAATTCTAAAGATGCAAAACATCTTGCTGAACAACAAAAATATATTGACATGTTGATAGATAATGTAAGGCAGTATTTTATTAAGTTAGATCAGGAACATAAAGAACTAACTACATTACAGGCATATTTACTCGCCAAGAAGTTTCAGTCAGAACAAGAGAAGAAATCAGAAACTACAAATAAGGTAGTAAAATGTACAGAACAAACTGAAATAATAAATTCTATTAAACTGGATCTCTGTTCCCGACTTCAGGAGAGCGAGGAGGAAGAAGAAGATTCTGATTGAAGACAGAGATCACTGTATATTATTGTATTTAATTATTGTATTTAAACTTAATATATATATTTTTTCTAAATTATTTGTGTAATTTTATAAAATTGACATTAAAACAAATTAACAGCATGCACAATTTGAATAACGTATTTAATTTTGATATTTCTGTGTTGAAAATGTCAGCATAAATTTAATCATTGCACCGATACCATCATCAATCTCATGGAACAAACCATCATACATGAATGCAGGAGTTGAAAATACCAAGTTTTTCTTATCAAAGATATATTCTGACACATCCTAGAAAATAATATTCAATTAAATATGGCACTAGAGATATAACCAAAACACCAATTATTAAAACAAATATTACTGTTTCTAGAACATTAGCTCCTAGTTTCCTTGCGTCATCGATAGCTGTCCTGTGTGGCCATCCATTACTAACTGTAATAAAATTTAAAATATTAATTCAATAAACATATTGAATTAATTACTTGAAATATTTTTATAAATTTTCATTGTAAAAGTATTAATAGTTAAGAAATTAATTTATTAATCGTGTTAGAACACTCGAAACATGCGGATTTTTAATTCATCTAAGTTTTCTGCACCAATTAATATATCATCCAGCAATACAGCAGTTCCATCAAGTCCATCAAATAATGCATCCATAATTTTTGGAAATTTGCTTGAGCAGGTGCCACTCCGAAGGGAAGGCGTGTATAAGTGAATAGCCCTTTTTGTGTTGTAATAGTGAGTAGTGACCTACTCGCTTCATCTGCAACTAGTTGTTGATAAGCATGTGACAAATCTATTTTTGCAAAAACTTTGACCCTTGAACTTTATGAAATAAATCCTCTACTCGTGGGAGTGGATGCTTGGATGGTTAATATACTATATTCTTTCCACCCTCAAAAAACAACAATTCAACAACAAACTTAAATTTCTTCTGTTAATCTTTTTACAGGCTTTGTAGTTCTTCGTAAGTTCATTTCAGTTTCTTCACTGGCAGCAGCCGTCGCAATAGGATTCTTCTCCAACAGCAGGGAAATGTTGCTGATAGGTTGTCACGGGACCCTGTACCTGATTGTCCGAGAGGATCCCGAGAAGCTGATTTATGTACTAATTATATATTTGATAGCAATGAAGATTTGCCTTTAGACTTTAAAAAGATATTGGCAGCTACTAGGAAAGATCCAATTTTGATGAAAGTTATATTGTACACAAAAGTGGGCTGGCCAACAGAAGTGGACCCGGAGTTCCAACCTTTTTCATCACGTTGAAAAGAATTATTTGTGGAGAAAGATATTCTGTTGTGGGGTTACAGAGTGGTAGTTCCTGAACTTTTAAGGCAACAAGTTTTGGAGGAGTTACATGCTTTTCACATTTGGGAATTGTGAAATTAAAATCATTAGCCCGTTCATACGTATGGTGGCCAAAAATGGACAAGGCTATTGAAAAAATAATACAAGTATGTCGAGCCTGTAATATTAAAAAAGATAACCCGGTGAAGATGCCATTAGTACCTTGGCAATGGCCATCCAAGCCCTGGGAGAGGTTGCACATTGATTATTTAGGTCCGTTTATTGGGAAATATTTTTTAATTGTAATCAATAGCCATTCCAAATTGCTTTAAGTTTTTCCAACTTTTTCAATGTCAACCTCTACCGCAGTTAACATTTTGCGTCAACTATTTGCAAGCTTTGGTTTGCCGGAAGAATTGGTTTGTGACAATTTCCCAGCATTTGATTCTGAAATATTTAAAAAAATTTGTCTCACAATGGAGTGACATTGAAGCATGGACCACCCTATTCACCCAAAACCAATGGAGCAGCTGAAAATGCGGTGTGGACCGTTAAGAAAGCATTGAAGACTGCGCTGTGCTCCGAAAAGTGTGCTGATTTAAGCATTTTACTAAACCGTTTTCTGCTTGACTATCGCAACTGCTCACATATTACTAGGGAATATCTCCAGCTCAAGCATTGTTTGGTAGATCATTACGAAGAACACGACTCGATCTATTGAAACCTCCTGCAACCAGGATTAAAGTGAAACAGCAACAAGAGAAACAAATAAAAACATATGGTGGAAGGTCCAACACAAAAAACTGGTCTGCAGAGGGAGATAGAGTATGAGTAATTTATCACAACCAGAAGGAAGATAAGTGGGTGCAAGCTACAGTGGAAAAACATGGTCCAGCTAAAATTAAATTGTTTGTACCATCAAAGAATACAACTTGGATTCGTCATTTGAACCAAGTAAGGTTGGCATCAAAGAACGAACCATCGATCAAATCGTTCAGCGACGAGGAGCCTCCAGGGAATGTAGCGAAGCCGCTAAAAAACAAATCAGACAGCGATCCTAAAATATCCACCTATTTGCCTATGCTGTTAGAGAAAAGTCCTATTGCGACGGCTGCTGCCAGTGAAGAAACTGAAATGAACTTACGAAGAACTACAAAGCCTGTAAAAAGACTAACAGAAGAAATTTAAGTTTGTTGTTGAATTGTTGTTTTTTGAGGGTGGAAAGAATATAGTATATTAACCTTTTTTAAAGGGTTGAATACTAAATCGATGTTATATCGATTTAGTATTCAATCTTTTTGTAATTAGTCATATGTTTTGTGAGAAAGTTGTAAAAAGTAATAAAGAGAAAATTGTTTGCGTTTGATTTACAGAATTCATTGATACACTACAGTTATATTCACTTTTGATCGAATTAATCATTTTATTATTATTTAAAAAAATTAATTTTATATAAAATACAGTATTGAAGTGTGGAAGAACAAATGATTCCTTAGCAAGTTTTTCCAGAATTCGTTTTAAATTTTATAACATTATAGAAATATTGACAATTGAAAAAAAAATTACTTTGATCAGTTATTTTATGATTAATAAAAACATATTCTTAATAAAATAAAACACAGCATATAAACATATAATCTGCAACTAAAAGATATTTGATTTCAATATTTCTGAAGTTACTTAAAAGACTGTGTTCCTACACTTCAATTTGTATTATTCAATAATTAATAACAATGAAACATATCAGTAAAAGAGTAATAACTGAAAAAAATACTCACTATTCCTTCCTAACGTTATAGTAACATTGCATATTAGTTTGGCTGCAAGAATAGGAGAAATGCAACATAATCCAATCGGTTTTTTGGCACAATGAAAATCCTTCATCACCTGTTCAACCTCTGGTTGTATAGAAAAATTAATACCATTGATTGCATAATCTGAACTACAACAAAAGTTATAAGATAATTATGAAAACATGTAAGAAGTTTTTTAATACAAAACAGATTATCAGACAAAACGTTAAAATCACAGAAATAATAAATACTCTACTTTTCAATTATACTTTAATTTCACTAAGTGCATCCAAAATAATGCAGATCTCTAAATTGAAATAACTTCAGGGAATAATCAATAGATAAATGAATGATGCCCGTCAGCAACAGAGGATAATATGAAATATACTATAAAATAATTAAAACTTAGAAAAGGGCACAAAAAAATTATGGTTTACAGTAAAAATTTCAATATATAAGTAAATAGCTTTTAGAAAACCATTAAAAACTTAACAAATAAGTATGAAAATAATCTACAATTTTACTGATAAAAATTATATAAGACTTATTTTCACTTAAGTTATATAGATGCACAGTATTCTTTTAAATTATTTTCGAATACAGTATGAAATAAACCAGTAACAATATTTGCCAACCTCGATAACACTCACAGATTCTTAGCTGCTCCAAATCCACCAGGAAATATGACAGCACTAAAATTTGACTGTGTTTCTATTAGCTTACAAAGATTCTGTATATTTCCTCTAGCTATTCGAGCAGATTCATTGAGAACATTCCTTTTATGAGACTTATCTTCTTCTCCCTATGCAATCATTCACTGTACACATATTGCATTTTTGTATTATTTATAAATTAATTCTTAAGTACTTACATGAAGGTGATTTATAACATGCAACTGTGCGGTATCTGGTGCGAAACAACAGGGTGTAACATTATTTCTAGTCAAATGGGACAGAACTGCAGCAGCTTCATGGATTTCTGTTCCGTCATATACACCACAACCAGACAATACCTAAATAGCAAGTTAATATTTTTACTTCCAATATGATAAATAAGTAATTAAAGCGATACAAATATGAACTTACTACAGCAACTTTAGTACTACCATAACGAGAATTGCTTAATAATGGGCTTTTATGAGCAGTATTGAGCAGGAGATTTGATACTGGCTTCCTTAACATTTCTAGGCAAACTTAAAAACGTAAAATTATTTTTGTTTATTTTTTAACTCATAAGCATTAATCTCTATTAATGCATTGATATTTTTTTGTTTGAACCTACCTAATGTCTAATATATTCTGAAAACAGCTTAGACTGAAGGTTTTATTTCCAAGTGGTTACCATTTCTGAACCCCCCCTCAGCTATGTCTAACTTAATCATTTTCTAATTCTTGTCATCATAAAATAAAAAACGGATTACACATAACTTATGTTACTATAAAATACAATTAAAAAAATTCATCTGTTCGTTTCATACATTTTTTTTTTAAGTTTGATTAGTGCTAGTTTGTTATTAGTGTAGTATTTCACTTTAGCTTGTTTTACGAGATTTTTGGAGAATGGTAATGTATTTAAGATTTAATATAAGTTTCAATACGTTTAATTCATCGAATATCATTAATATAGGGCCTTTTATGTTAGTTGAATTAAGTTCTATGAATTTACAAAGATTTTAAACGCTGTAATCTTTTTACACCTCTTCCATAACATCTTGAGTCAACTAAAATGAAAATAGTTGAATTGAGTCAACTAAAAATATAAGAAATTTAACGTAACTTTTGGCTTATATTTTAACAATTTTAAAGTTACCCCAGGAAGATATATAATTTTTAAAAAATAGCAATTACGTAACATACGCCAATGTGAATCTTAGCACATTATAGTAAACTATTTAGTAATTTTAAAACTTTGAGCGTGGAGTTGTTGTACTTGGAACTGGTAAATTTCATCCAGAAATGAATAATTGCAAAGGTTTAAAGAATTGAACGTTTCTACTGTTATATAATTTATTGGTTTACAAAAATTTAAATAGATCTTAGAAGTTCTTTGTAATTAATTGACAGGTTAAATTAATCATCCTAATGGTCAAAAAGTATTTTCAAAAATTTTACTTATTACAGAAAGAACTTTATCGTATTTCACTTGAATCAGAGTTCGCTGAAGTTTTTGGCCTAAAAGCTATATTGATTCTCCGAGTGAGTTCAAATGCCCTCAAAAATTCCTAAGACCAATATTTTAGCGAGAAAATTGTAGCAACTAACTCTGTGGGCTGTAGTTTGATGATTTTGATTGAAGTATTTTGGTTTATTATTTTCAATTATGAACCATTGTGATCGACCAAAAAATTCAAAAACTTAACCCTCTCTCAAAATTTGAGGATTTACGTTTCAGAATACGTAGAATTCGAAAAACGAATACAAATTTTTTTGTCCGTCCGCTGTCCGCGCATTTTCTCCGAAGGTACTGGACCAATTTTTTTTTTAAAATTTGGATATAAAATCAGAGGATGATCCTCCTTCATCGACATTACCATCCGCCTTTTATTTTCAAAATGGCGGCCGAAAAACCTCAGTTGCTATAGACTATAGCGCCTATTTCCTCTCCCCCCCCCCCTACGCCTGCTAATTTCGACTTTAAAATAGACTCTGACTTTTTAAGTAAATTTTATATCGCTAAAAAAGTCACTTTGTATTTTACCATTAGATGACCAATAATCATTAAATTGTTTAATATTATACATTCAGATTAAACAAATGTTTTGCTCCAAACTAAAGTTTGCATCAATCGAAATGGAGTGACACTTTTACAGTAGTATCATTTTATATTTTCATCCTCATTCCATTGTATCATTTCATATCGTGTGCCAAGTTTTCGGAATCCACTTAAAACCGTAGTATAGTTAAGTTCCTATAGTCAACGCTAAGCTCATCGCTTTGCCTAATTTAGGAACCTTTGTTATCGATGAATTCAGCGTCGAATTTAGGATCTTGGCCAATTCCTTATTTGATTGGTCTTAGTAATTATAATATAATAGTGTTTTGTTAAGGCACTGACTTCATATGCCCGAGGTGCATTATTAAAATAGTTCCGACACGAAGAATCATAATTAACACGATTTTATGAGCAATAAGCATATATTACAGAAATACGATAATAATTAGATGAGGACCATATGGGTCACGCTTGGTTCACAATTACTTCGGTCCACTAGTGGATCCAGGATTTAATTTTGGAGGGGCTTCAGCCCGAAAGATTTTGTTTTCATATACATATAACGATAATTAATTTCTTAAAAAGAGAAAGAAATTAACTACCTATATGAAATAGTGTTTAAGTGTTTCTTGAAGTTCTATTAAATGTAATTAAACGAACAAGAATACTTTAAAAAGTAGTTTTTAATATTTTTTTCTGTATATTTTACCATTTTGGAGGGGGGGGGCTTCACCCCGAAAGGTCCCCCCCCCATAGATTCGCCTGTGCTTCGGTCACACTTGTTCGTAACAGTCGCTCGTATATACCTGTATGCCTTCGGCACTTCATGAACAAGTGTGACCTAAGCAATTGTGAACCATGGGTAACCCGTGCGATCCTCGTCTAAATAATTACCAGAAATACAATTGTAAATATTGAAATAAGTCGTATTCATTATTCTTACTCTAGGAGGGAGAAGAAGTGGAAGAAGAGAGCTATAACGGGACTTTAAAATCGCTAAAGCCCTTCAGGAGGGTTAAAGACACAAAAGTAACACTCAATAACGGAATAAGAATGCCAGTTTTAGGGTGTAGGTAGTAAAATAATTAAATAAAGTAATATAGATTTTCAAATAATGAATGTTTTCATAACCTAATATTTTCCAGTTGGAACATATAAAATTCAAGGCCTTGAAGATCTCTTGCAAATCATTAAATTCGCATTATCAGCTGGTTATAAATTATTCGGTAAGATAGGCCTATGCATTTATAAATATTGTATGTATGAAATATATTCAATTACTAATAATGCTGTTACAGGTTATGATCATAAACTGATGACTTTACGTAATTTTAACCTTGCCTAATGTATGGATGGGTTTCTAACCTTCGCCCAAATCCCTTTCCTCACAATATTTCCTAACTGCCGGCGTTAATTTTAATATTTATTTCTTCAATAGTTATTGTTGTTATAGAGCAAAATATAAATTTTTATGATGAATAAATGTTTTGCTATGTATTGAACATAGCAAATAAGTAAGTAAATAAACCGACTTTTGGCATCAAAAACAGCTTCAAGGGTAGAGAGCAAATAAATTAAGGACAAGGGGTTCTGGGGAAGGCCTCTACTCAAAGTAACACGTGGCTAGTAACGGGTTAAGTAACTGGTTCCTTTTAGGGTGTTACCAGTTATTGTGAAGTTAAGAACCAATGAAAACCATCCTTGCCTCACCTTGAATATTTCTATAAAATCTCCCAAGAAGTAAGAAAAAAGGTCTTATGTTGATTTCCGGCCTTGAGAATAGGTCAGATGTTTTCTTCCGACTTAGGGACTGAAGCCTTGGCCCTACATAGACCATGAAGATGGGCCCCCTTGCAGATTTCGGACCTGGGCTTGACGAGATGACCTCGGATCAGCAGATGCAGCGATGAACCATGCATAACTACAACACTTCACGTACCATAATAGCTAAGTTGTAATTCCCAATCCTAATGTTATAATATTTTATGGCAATAATTCTCAAAACAGTCCTATCTGAATTCATACTTAATTATTAAATTCTTTGTATCTTTTTATTTAGTTTATTGTACATAGTATTAGTATTGAGATTTCTATGTTGTTTGTATATAATTCTTTTTTAAACATAGAAATAAATTAAGTTTTTTAGTAAAAGTTATTTTAATTCTGCCAGGTAATGTTAGTAATTAGAAAGCATGATAAACACAAACCAGACTTTGAGATATGTAATCCAATTAATTAATCATGGACCAAATATATTATAGTTCCAAATTTATTTTACTAATTTTTTATTAAGCGTTTCTGGGTAATTATCATCTATAATTATCCAGTGGCATTCCGAATAAAATTTCAACACCCCGAAACGTAGCAGATTGTAGCTTCAATATCATCATGAACACTGAGCAAGATGCATTAATGAAAAAAAAAAAAACTGTTTATATAGTTTTATAAATAAGTCACTTGGCCAACACGAGCAAAGATCGCAGATCTTCGCGACAGATCTTGTTCTGTGTACTTCTTAGGAGGACCGGAAAGTATTGTCGTTTTCTTACATTAAATTCAAACACATTAATTTTTAACGAGTTTTTATTTTTAATCAATGATATAACCACCCTCATTGCCATCTAGTGTGCAAATTTTCAGTGGCGGATCGATAAAAATCTAGTTATAAGAGTTTTGAACAAAATATAAAGAGATGGTATTTTACATATCATCCAAATCTGTAAATCTATTGCCACTTAGAAAGTGTAAAAGCGATCAGAATAAATGGGAATCTGATAGTTCAACATCGGCTGAGTATAGTGGGTGTGGTAGTGCCTTCGACTTCAATTTGTCTTGCGCAGTACGGTTTTGCATTATCCTGTTGCAGAATAACGCATTTTCTGTTGACAATCACTGGCCACTTTTCAATTAAACATTGGTTTACACGAGCCATTTCTTGACAGTATAGGTCTGCATTCACAGTTTGCCCGGATTTCAGCACTTCAAAATGGCCAAGTCGCGACTACTCCACCAAACACACATAAGGGGCTTTGGAGTACTTAGTGGCGATTTATTAGGAGAGAGCCACTGCCTTTTGCATTTTGGATTATCATAGAGGGCCCATTATTCGTCTCTGGGGATCGAACGATCAAAATTTGCTTCTGTATTGTTGAAGCAATAAGTTGTATGTGACTTTCCCAATTTGCTACAAATGTTCTTGGATGGTCGACCAAGATTGATTTTTTTGACAATTCCTCAATGGTCTGATACGGATTTGCTCCCACTTCTATCCTTAACACGTCATTGTCGAACTTTGTTGTTATTCCCGATTGATACGAGCCGAAAATATGAAAATTACGAGATTTGAACTTGGAAAACCACCTTTGGTATCTATGAACGTCTAATGCATTAGGACAAACATCACAAATGTTGTTGGTAGCAATTGTTGCCTTACTACTCTTGCGTAACTCAAAAAGCTTGTAATGTCGAATATGTACCACTTCTGGTATTTGACTGGCCATTTCAACTATGATTGATAAAAAGAAAATTTAATTATTTATATGAGAAGGAGTTGATCGGGGGGTGCGGTCAAATTAATACTAAATTACACAAGTAGAATTATTTAATTTTTGCCGACTTTTCGACCCACTTTGCAGGTCTTTATCAGGGCTACAAAAGATACAAAACATGGTGAAAATAAAATAAATGAATATAAGTATACATAAAATAAGAATAAGTTGTCTGATACAGAAATAAAAAGATGATATCAGAGATATAGTTAATGTAGTTAATTATTTATAATTAAACAAGTTGTTATAATCTTAGGATGTCTTTGTCGCGACCAGGGGTGCCTATCCACCTCAAGGCTGATGGCACATAATCCTTCTCCCACCCCATTTAAGATATTTTATTGCTCTCTGCTTCTTAAAAACAGTACAAACGAAAGTAGATCTTAATTATTCATAGAATATATTGAATTACACATCCTGCGATCTGTTCCATGCCCCCACTTGTTTTTATATTTCCATTTTGAAAATTCATAACTCCGTCGAAATGTACCCTTCTCAAAAATTGAAAATCCCGTCAAAATCTGCCCCTCTCATAAATTTTAGTGACTCCTGGTCACGACCTAGATGTTCAAAATGAGCTGAGAAATGGCCATCAAATAAGGAAATACGCAAAAACGACTTTACTTTCCGATTCCTTTAATATTTCATGGCGGACCTAGGCAGGGGTATCGAGAAAAAGAAAGAAAAAACTCGTTCTATGTGCATAAGCCTTATGGACTTGTATGGGAGCCATGTTTATTTCTTAATCGAGCTATTATCATATCCCTAAAGATAAATGTTAGTTTCAAAATGAAGCACTCTTAGTTTTCAAGGCATCAGTTTCATTAATTTGAATTGCTTAATCGAAATCAAGTCACATGTAGTGATTAATCTACTGTAATAGCAATGATTGTGAAATTTTCGATCATCGATATGGATCTAATTCATTTATTATAAAAAGATTAATATTATTTCAGATACAGCTTCTGACTATTACAATGAACGAGACCTCGGTACATCCTTGGCAGCGCATCTTCCTGCTAATAACTTGGAGAGGGATGACATATTCGTCATATCCAAATTAGGTATGTTTCTAAATATTAGGATAATTATTGTTATTAGTGAATTCGTAAATTAGGCCGTATTGCTCATGTTTATTAATTCACAAGTCTGATCAGCTTTATTCCACAATTAAGTGAATAGAAATGTAGGATAGAACCTTTAGTTGTCGTTACCCTATCCAGTTTTCAGCAACCATTGCAGTCATTAAAGAATGTTTAGCGTTGGGCATATTTGTCTAGAGCTGGCGAAAGAGGCTCATTTGAAACGGGATCCCTCCTGTGATCGCATATTCTAGCCTCTTTCACCATTTATTCAGTTTTATAGGTCGAAAAAATCGTTGAAGATTAGAAATCTGACTGGTGTCTCCTAGGAATTTAATTATTTAAGTTTATGAAAATTGCGTAAGGAGTGTCGAAAATTGGTTCTTCAGGAGGAATAGATTTGCCTCAACCGATACATCTAAAACCTTACGATTCAATACGGCGAATGGTAGTGAAGCAAGAAATTAGAAAAGTACACTTGGACAAAGTGGAAGGGAAACGCTATGAGTGTTTGAAAGTCAATCCGATTCCAGCTGAACTACCGAGAAGAGATGCAGTTGTCTGCTTCTGCCATGCCACTGGCCACGACTATCTGCAGAGTCATCTCTACAAGATAGGCGTGGCTGAGGATTCTAGCTGCAAATTGTGTCATCAAGGAACAATGGATACAGACTATCTAGACACATGTCACATGCCTTGAAGGACATAAGAGAAAAAACATATATACATACATATTAAAACATCTAAATTATACTGGGCAGCAAGATGTCGGATGGCCAAATGACCAACGACTAAAAACACCTATATTTTGAAATTAGAGATCTTTGCTGACTTAACAGAACAGAAATTGTTGAACCAAGTACTCACGCAATTGAAGTCGGGACATACACATTTTAAAGTTCCCTTAAGGGTGCCGAAAACTGAGGTTTTTATCCTACATCAACTACTGTTGAAATAAAATCAAATAGAAGTCAAATTGCCTTTACTGTTTATCAATACCAAAAAAAACAAAGAAGATTCTTCACTCGAACTACGTCCAGTTTAAAATTCTTATATAAAAGCCGCCGACAGCATATTTGTTCTTCGCAATCAATATAGAGTATATGTATCAGTAGTTTCATTAACGGATCCATGATTTAATATGTGGGGGAGGGGGAGGCTTCCCCTTAACTTGGTACCAATTAAATATCAAATTCTTTTAGTAAAATAAGTTAAAAACAGATAAAATATAAACTTAAAACTCTCCAGCTCTAGAAAGTCCTGAAATCTAATTATTCACATTACCCGAGGAGAATGTCAGGTACTGGTGCTTTTGCTCAACTTACATTCAATGCTTTCCTTCAAAATAAAGGCAGAGGCTTAATTATGGAATTACTACTTAAATATTTAACTGTTTCATGGTTCTTCTTATTATATTTGTGGTGAACCAATAATATGAATTTAATAATATATTTATTAAATACATTCGGTTCTGAATGACTTAGGCCAATCTTTCTTTGCACCTAAAAGTTCAAAGCCAAATTTTATACTCTGATCATAGTACAACATCAACATTTCTAATGGCACTTCTTAGTGTTTCTTTTTTTTAATTTGAACAAAACTAAAGATTATCGTTCTTTTAAATATCAAGGCAATAATGTCTATTGGTTATCATTTCCAGCCACAGAGGACCAATGCGTAGCAAACGTGCGTAAAGCTGTCCTAAAGTCAATGAAAAACTTGATGATGGAACAAATAGACCTCTACCTCGTCCATTGGCCTGGAGCGAGCATCTTGGATATTCCTGAAGACGACAGCCCGAAGCATAGAAACGTGAGGCAGGACACGTGGCAGCAGCTCGTCAGGCTTCTAGACGAAGAGAAGTTGCGGTCGATTGGTGTTTCAAATTTTTGTGAGAGACACCTGGTAGACTTGCTAGAATATTCTTCAGTAAAACCCGTAGTCAATCAGGTATTTTCAAGGAAAAAACCAAACTTTAAAACGAATATGAGTAAATTACCTAATTAAGTAGGTAATGGATGTCTTTCACAAGTAATTTGTGTATAAAAAGTTTTATAGAAAGCATAGATATCACTGGAATAGCTTCATTCGATTCATGATACACCAAAATTGGTTATTCCTTAACAAGGCGGGTTCGTCGTTGTTACTGGATGTTTGGTTGCCTTGAAATGACCATGTATTTCATATTGAAGATCAGAAGAAGAAAGAAAAGAAACAGGATAAGAGATCTTTACATAAACATGTAAATGAATTAAAGACACTACTGGTTCTACTTATTTAGGTACCTTATTGATTACTTTGTACTATCTGTTGGTTGTCAATTATGTTCTTAACAAGATTTAAGAATATCTCCTCTTCTTATAGAGAAGCCTCTATCGTCCGGAACAAATCCTCCTGGTTTTGTTCTTCTTCAGTTCTCCGATAGATTTTAATCCTTTTTCAATGCCTAACTTGTTGTTATCTTCGTTGTATGATATTCTGGCAGGGATACCTATATCCCGCTCCCCTCCCCCCAGGTCGATGGCGCAAGAACCTACTCCCTCTCCTCATCCTCGTACCAAGATATTTTATTGCACACCTTTTCTTAAAAACAGAGCAAAGAAAAGTAGAATTAGAAAATCGTAGATGGTACACAATTACATTTACTGTTGTCTGTTTCATTTTTTTCCCATGTACCTTATTTTAAAACTTTTCATTCCGAAAATTCATAACACCATTGAAATGTGTCCCCTCAAAAATTCAAAAAACCGTCAAAATATGCCCCCCCCTTAATGAATATTTATTTCGCAACTTGTGGCATACAATCCCTTTCTGGGTACTCCTCTATCCTAGGACTACTCTCGTGTAAAATGTCCGAACTATTTTATTTATCTTTTATAGAAGGTGGTTTTCAATGATGAAATATCCCAATGCTCTCTTATCGTCATGGTTCTAATGCAGCCTCTTCGTGTCTTTTCCACCATTCGGCGGAGTTATTTCATTTCCTTTGCATTCAGATGGCTCATATGTCTGTCTGACGTTACCTAACTCTCAGTGCCATACGGAAAAGTCGAGAGATAAACAGCTTTAATATGTGGAGCTTGCCCTACTTGGAGACCTCTCACTTATTATTATTATACCTATGATTGCGTTGCATATGTGATAGTTCTTAAATTTTCTTTGCTTTTGCATTTTTGCTTGGCACATCTCTGTATATGATGGCAGTTTTTCTAACTTCTGTATCTAAATATAAGAATTCGTCATCAACCTCTATCTCCTCGCCATTATAAAAGAAATGCACACTCTTTACTAGAAGTTACTACGACTTTTTATGGAGTTTATTGTCATTCCTTCCCTGAGAAGCACTGCGATTTTCCATTATCATCGGAAATAAGAACAATATCGTCAGCGAATAAATATCTCTGTACTGATTTTGTTCTTAAGTTCCACTTTCCGATTACAGTTCTCTCCATCTTTCTCTTACATATCTTGTGGATTTCATCCATTAAGATGACGAACAGATTCAAAAATATAAATAATATTGTAAGCACACCAGTGATGGACATAACTAAGGAAATTTTTGTCTTTTTAGACTTGCCGCCGTAATTATTGTAGTTTTAAACTTATCTGTTGAACATTTAGAATCTCTAGGGTCTTCTGTTTCTATTTTACGCTTTAAAATTGAACTCCACCTGGACAAGCGACTAACTTGGAATCCTCATACTAGACTGAAACGACAAGAAACCGCTCGACGTTTCCGATTACTTCAGCACTTACTAGACAAACGCTCTAAACTTCCCAGTAATTACAAAAGAATCATATACTTGACTATAATAAGACCTATTTGGACTTACGGAGTTGAGCTGTGGGGCTCCACTAAACCATCGAATTCCTCTCGCATCCAATCCTTACAATCCAAAATCCTTCGTAAAATCCTCAATGCTCCTTACTTTGTCACTAATAAAATTATCCATAAAGATCTTAATGTTCTTTTTGTTTCAGATCTGGCCCAATCCAGATACCTATCCTTCCATAATAAACTTCATAACCATCCGAATCCTCTTGTTTCTAACCTTGCTTCCTATTCAATTCCTGATAAGCCTCCGAGGCGTCTGAAAAGAAGATGGCCCCGTGATCTCCTAATGTAGTCATATCATTAGACTGCTACCATTGGGTTGTTACTCAGCAAGTGTATTCATGTCATTATATCTATTATGTCCAAATTTACTAGATGTATTTATATAATACAGTTATAAATGTCATTAAGAAATAAATAAAAAAAATGAAAAAATATTCAGATATGCAGGTATGATCATCATTAAAAAAAAAAACACCTTTTTGCACTTGTGATGGACACTCCGAAATTCTATTATTCTATAATGAACAGGAGGTCGGTACCAGTAATGAACATACCTAAAAAAATTCTAAAATTATTATTTAACTATAAAGATAACGATAAACATAAATGTTTAATCTACTCTTAGTAGCAAAACTGTCAGTAGGAAGGTATGAAACACACTGATCTCCAGAGCACTATAGAAACAACAATGACAGGCATTTTAAAATTTGCTTTTGGAAACTTTGTTCATATAGTTGTTAAAAGACGGCATTGTTCTTCAATATGGAAAAAAACTGGAACCTTTCAATCAACATGAAAGCTTATTTCTTTACACGTAAAGTCTCATCCTTGGCCTCTTGTCGATAACTGGTGTGTTCACCCTAATTAGTAACTTTTTATAGTGGAATTTAAGGTTATTATAATTCTTCAAATACCAATGCTTAAATTCGATTACATTTAAATGAAACACAATTCTTCACAGGTTGAGTTCCATCCTCACTATCGTCAGCCGCAGGAATTGCTTGACCTCTGTAAGGAACAGGATATATTCCTCCAGGCTTACGGAATCTTCGGTGGAGGCGAAAACGCCATATTGTTCGACCCGGTCATTATTGAAGTTCTAAAGGCAATAAAAAGAAGGATTCCTTACCTAACGACGGCACAGGTGATTCTACGCTGGGCCTTGCAAAGTGGATTCGGTAAATCAAATTCCATAAATTAAGTAGCGTATTTTCAAAATGAACCTAAATCAATTTATTTTTCAAATTGAGGTAAGTATGGATGGATGCCCACATATTATTACAATTCCTCTTCACAATTCAATCAGACGCAGGCTAAGTATAGATTACGTAACAAGGTTTTAATTTTCTTTATACATTTTTTTTTTCTGTTTTGAGTATGAAATAGAATTTCGACCCCCTTTCACAAAGCATTGTGAGTAGCTATAATTTTTTTTTTACTTAACTTCTATTCATAAGATTGTATTTCTTTAAAATGTATCATATTTTAAGTGTTATCTCTTAGATCTGATCTGTCCCACCACTCGCCCTAACGTTGGAAATTCAAACCATTTTAGCACAAATAGGTATTCTTTATCCGTACATATATTATTACAGTAAGGCTCGAAATCGGTTTTGTACCAAATATAAGTTCCTGTCATGCTCAAACACCATGAATGGGATACCGTTGGATTTAGAATTTCACGGGGGGTTAGCGAATCGTATTCTCCGCTTTTGTTTTTCTTTCTAAAATAAATAAAGTCGGTACAAACATTTTGCTAGGCTTCAATACCTGAACAGTGGTAGGTCTGTAGATCGATGCGGGACAAATTGGACCTTGAAGATTTTGATGCGTACAGCAAGACCCGGATAGTTCCCCTGGAACTATTGGATCCTGCGTTATTAAGCCCAAAAACGTACTATTTTCGAGATAACGCATGGGGTTCGCATCCACACAACGTTACGTTAATTGTAGTACTGTCAGTGGATACATGTCTCATTTCGTCGACTTGAGGTCTCTATGATCGAGAGAAGAGTTTATATTATTTATCGATGGTGTTTTTGATCGGCAAGCCATATCATCGTTAATTCTTCACCAAATCTCAAGATTGAGCCACCAATTTCGAAGGCTTCCTTCTCCTTCAGGCGGGCAAAATAGTTCAATCACCCCAAAAATTCAGGCAAACAAGTTATGAAAAAAAAGAAACTTTATTTACGAATAACTAAAAAATTACACTGTTATTCCCATGATCATATAAAACATTACTAAATTGTCAACAAAAGGAAAAAAAAAAACATTGAAATCGGATAATTTTTTGCAAAGATATAGCTTATTGAAATTTGTAAATATGTTGGTTCCAAACAAAAATGAAGATTTAAATTAAGTTTGTTCCCTTTGTCGATTATATTTATGGATAAAGTAACAATTGATTCCTTTATCGTTTGATACGTTGCATTATTTTATATTCTTATTAATTTGTCATTTGATAACAATATGCTGTGCGAATTTTTCGCATGGGCCTACTAGTTGTAATAGTTCATTTTGCCAGATTTATTGTTAATTGGTATGAACAATATTGTTATTCTTAAGGGACCTAGTCCCAGAATAAAGATGATTTTTCTATTTCTATTTCTATGTAAAAACATCAAATGAATCCGATTGTGCAATTTTTGTCATCAATGATTTTTAAATATTTTAAAAAAATAAGTTTATTTCCAAAACCAAAAGGAATGTAATGCTACTTGCTTTTAATAAAAAAAAAAAAATAATTGTTTAACTTTTTATTCTCATGAAAACTAAAACTAAATAAAGTAAGCTATTCTTTCTTGGCCCTTCTGATCCTATAATTACTCTAATACTATATTGCTTCGGTTTTGATGCGGAGGATTTCCTCTCAAATCTATAATGTTAATGGGTCTCCCAGTCGTATATCAGAGTTAGCTTTATCAAAGCACTTCAAACAGACGGTTCGAAAAGTGATGAAGGGGTAGGCACTGATGTTATATCTGGGAATTAGACTGACTTAATTTCGCTGAAACCCTCCTCCTCAATGTACACGCAGAACTTCTAGGAATCAACTGAGCTGTTTGCAATAAAACTCCAAATTACCCTCGCTCCATCATATGCTCAGATTTATCACACACCCTTTAATTACAGAAATAAAAATATAATTAACAACATTGAAAGACACTGTAGAGTATTGTTTTTATGGGTACCTGGCCACAGTGGAATTCATGGAAATTAAAATGCAGATATACAGGCGAAACGAGCAATACAAAATGGTCGAGTATTTTCAATAAGTGACCGCAATATCTTGGATCAATGAAAAAGGATGGCTGGAGTGGCAACATCAATGGTTTGGCATGAGAGGAAATAAATTAAGAAAAGTAGAACAATATGTTAAACATCCAAGAAAAAGTCTACATCTATCATGGAGAGAAGAGGTAGTTCTTACCCGCCTCAGGATTGGCCATGGATATCTGATGGAGAAGGAAGAACCGTCAACATGTACAATACTGTAGCTGTATTCTAACAGTGCTTCACATACTAACGGAGTGTACGGCTCATGACTCATAAAGATTCTCCACAGACCCAGAACAAATATTGAGACAAGACCCAGACACGACTTATTACATTCTTAAAAACTATTGATATTAATAATAAAATTTAAAACAACTTCAAGAGACTTAAATGACCCCAGTGGTCTTACCACTTATACAAATAAATAAATAAACCCTTGAATTGAGATATTTCATGATTTCAGTAACTTTGAAAGAAAGAAGAAAGCTTTGTTTGCGTTTATTATAGTTTGTATATTTCTGACTGTTGGTTGTTCATTGAAATATTTGAATTTTTCTACTCTAGATAACGATTTTCCTTCTAACCAGATTGTGTTGGAATAAAATTTTGGGCTTACTATCGTATTTTTTGTTTTATCTTTATTTACATGTAAGCTTATTCCTTTCTGGATTCCTAATGAGCCAAAAATAATAGGTTCTGCCATACTCTGCAGATGAATCCCTTCCAAAAACTCAGCAGTTGAAAGTGGAATTGCTCCTCAACTCACGAAAATTCTCTTTCACTAAATTTCACTTTATATTTTTCCTGCAGGTACAGAATGCATTTTTTATAGATCTCTTTTTTTATTATTTTTTTTTAAATTTAAATATCTTGATCCTCATCATTGTTTTCAAACCGAATTGTAGGATAAACTATCAGAGCCTCTTTTGCACTAAAGACTAAGATATCTACGAATTTCGCTGAGCCTTCAAAATCTATGTAATATACTTCAAGGAAATATCTATACTTTTTCCACTCCAGAAATTCAGCAATTAGATTCTTTATTCTTATTGTGCCGGTTGGTGACAAGGTGCATGTTATTCTGACTTTTGCCCAGTACCTGATCTGGTGTTTCTAACACTCACAAATGCAGCGGAGGGGTTAAATAAACTTATTATCATTGCCAAATGTGAATGGGGTTTTATGTATCATTACTTAACATAAATGCGGCATTCTTAATCATTACCTAATCTATTGATTCATAGGTTTCAACTATGAATTGCTTCAATGTTTAGCAGTGACTGTTATCCAATCTTAGTCTAGTAAAGATGATTCTTCTTAAGATATTTTACTGATTAATTGATCTGATTTTACATTTTAGGAGTTCTTACCAGAGCTATGGACTACACTCCAATCCACTGCAATGCAGATCTGGACTTCTACATCACGAAAAGACAAATGAAGCAAATAAACGCGATCAGCACCAGAACCAAATATTACTGGGATCCAGAATATATAGTACATTAAACTGAGATGGATTTCTCATTTGGTCTGATTCTTTTCATTCCTCGACATAAAATAAAATGATTTTTAAACCATAAAGTTGAGGAGTTATGTTTATTCAGTGTAAGAACTTTTACTGAATGTTTTTGAAAACAATAATTATACAGAACAGTCTGCCAAAAGTATTAGACCCCCAGGAGTGCCCATTCCTTCCTAAGGGCGATGGCGCAAAAATCAGCTCTCCCTCCCAACCAAGATATTTTATTGCTCACATTTTCTTTAATAAGCTTCCTGGTTGATTTAAAGGTTCAAGTTTTTTCTAGATTGAAGAACAATGCTCTCTATTGACAACTGTATAAATAAAGTTCCCCCAAAAAAAATTTTTTTTTTTTTTTATTGGTGATATTTACAACTGTATTACAAGTAAAAATACATTCAGTAAATGTGAACAACGGAATAAAATAGCATGAAATCACATGTTGAGAAACTACCCATTGGTAGCACTCTAAAAATGTATTTACAAAAGGAGATCTCGAGGCCATCTTCTTTTCAGATGCCTCTGAGGGTTGTCAGGGATCGAAGAGGAAGCAAGGTTAGAAACGAGAGGGTTTGGATGGTTCTGAAGTTTGTTATGGAAGGATAGGTATCTGGATTGGGCCAAGTCAGAAACATAAGGAACATTAAGGTCGTTATGGATGATTTTGTTTGTGACAAAGTAAGGAGCAGTGAGGATTTTACGAAGGATTTTGGATTGTAAGGATTGAATACGAGAGGAATTCGATGGCTTAGTGGAGCCCCAGAGCTCAACTCTGTAAGTCCAAATAGGTCTTATTGTAGTCATGTATATGAGTCTTTTGTAATTGACTGGGAGGTTAGAGCGTTTATCTAGTAAGTGCTGGAGTAGTCGGAAACGTCGAGCTGTTTCTTGTCGTTTCAGTCTGGTATGAGGATTCCAAGTTAGACGTTTGTCTAAGTGGAGTCCAAGGTATCGAATTTGTTCAACAGGAATAAGTGGGGTATTATTAAAAGATACTGTAGGACAAGAGGACATAGGTTTACGACGAAGGGTAAAGGTGATTTGATGGGATTTATTGGAATTTATTTTTATTCTCCAGTTTTGACACCATTCTTCAAGATTTATGATGTGTGATTGAAGGGTTTGGGATGCAATTGTTGGGTCGTTATTAACTGATAGGACACATGTATCATCGGCGTACGTGGTAATGACTGTTAGGATGGGTTGGGATATCAGCTGTATAAACTGTGTAAAGGATAGGACCTAGGATACTACCTTGAGGAACACCAGCGGACTGGGAAAAAAGGGATGAATAGGCATTATTATGATTTACTTTGAAGGATCTATCAGTAAGATAGGAACGGATAATGAGGAAGTATGTAGGGTGTAGGAATTTACGGAGTTTGTAAAGCAGTCCTGGGTGCCAGACTCGATCCTAAAAAATTTAAAATACCAATCATTGTTGTTTCTATAGTGCTCTTGAGATTAGTGTGTTTCATACCTTCCTACTAACAGTTGTGCTAAGAGTAAGTTGAACATTTATGTTATCTTTATAGTTAAATAAAAATTTAGAATTTTTCTGAGATATGTCCATTACTGGTACCGACCCCCTGTCTATTAGTAGAACAATTGCAGATGGGGTGTCTATCACTAACACAAAAAGGTATTTTTTTTTTTATGGAGATTATACCTACATAACTGAATATGTTTTCAATTTTAAAGCGCTAAATATAAAAAAGAGACCTTAGAGATTCTAAATGTACAAAGCAGAAGTTTATAACTTTAATAATTACAACAGCATAAGACAAAAATTTCCTTAGCTATGTCCATCACTTGTTATAATAGGGCAAAATTTGACATTTTCTCTAGTTTCCAGAATATATATACATTAACCTGAGAAAGGTTTCTCATTTGGTTTGATTCTTTTCATTCCTCAACAATGTATCTTCTTGAGATATAAAGTTTTCAATTAAAATATGTGATGAATGAGTCTCAAATTAAACTTTGGCACTGAATGGCCCCCATCAAATATAGTCAGTTTTACCACAAATTTTTAATTATTTTAACTAAGAAACAAGATTTTAAATTAATAAAAGAAAAATGGTTAAATAACAGATCAGACAAAACATAAAATGAGATAGAACAGCAAGAAATCCAAAATTCAATAAATTATTAATTGGTTAATCATAATATGTAGTGTATTGCTTGGTTATAAAATTATATACCATGAATTAACAGATTCATATTGCTTGAAGAAAATCCAAAAAAAATTAATCATATAATTAATTGTTCAAAAACTAATGAAAAAATTAATTTTCAACATAAGATTTATTATTTCTTAAATATGTACAATAATCAATTCTATAAATATTTTTAATGAAAAATACCAAAATAAAATTAGGATATATAATATATTTTAGGTGTACTACTACGAATATTTCAACGAACAGTTGAAGAACACACCGCAGTTCTAAATAGCACTTAATATATAACCTACGTAGAAATCAGTTGGTGTTACTATTATCGTTATTTTCCAGCAAAGAACATATATGGTGGCGATTTTGAGTTTAGATAGTCTAACATAACTGTATTCAAGCATTGGAAATAAATCTTCTATCTAAAACCATCCGATGAGCCTCTGCCAAATAATTTAAAAAAAAAACCTGAACCACTAACAACCCATGGAAGGTTATGGGTTCAGTACAATGTGAGGAAGTACTATTACAAAACCAATGGTTGTGCAGGGAGAGACGGGCCAATTGCCATGTTTCTCCCCTTAATTAAGAGTACCAACTTTATAGAAGCTGGGTTTACACCAGGAGTTACAGTAGGGTTGAGCCACTGCTGATGAAAAATTACTAATCATCAGCCGGATTCAAACCTGGGACCTTGAACTCTGCAAGTCAGTGCTCACCCACTAAGCTACCCCGTTCCCTTCTCTGCCAAATAATTACCCAATTTATTTATTTAAATTATAGTAAGGATTGTTAAAAATTATTCTCGATTATTAAAATTTCAGAGCAACAAATCAAACATTAAATTAACAATTATAGTGCAGTAATAAAAAAAAAATAATAATAATACATGGTCATTATCAATAATAATACAAACTGAACAAATAACTATGAAAGAGGTCCTTAGTGATCTTAAGCAATGGTCTGATACCGACATCCACGATAAATGAAGACCACAAAGTTGTGCTGCTGAACACCTCGAGGAAAGTAAGAAGCTTTCTAAACAAACAATAGATTACTGAACGACAAAAATTTACATGAAGTGATCATAGTTCTCACTCAAGGAATATACCTTTTTTTTTTTTAAGTATTAAAAAATATAAATAATAATACTAATTTGAGAGGTAGAAAACTTAAGTATAAATTAATAAGAAAAGAAACTCATCAAAGAATAATAATTTATTTTCTAAACTAGAAAATTTAAGTACAAAATATAAAGCATTTGTTAAGTTGTATTAATTTAACATTGTATGACATATGGCCTAAGGCTTGTTGTTAAGATATAAATATAAAATATAAAATATAAATATAAAACAGCTTATAAATATATAATTAGTAAGAGAGCAGTGCTTTTATAAGTTAAATAGAAAATACGTATTTGGACCTTAATTTTAAATCTTTATTATCCTGAGTATTAACTCTAGTACAGAGACTGTTTACTACTGTGCTTATTTTACTTGTAATTGTTCGTCCATTCGCTTTTGTTGTAATAATCCTAATTTAAGTCATACAACATATCTATCCAGTATTATTTGTTCGTGACAAAGGTAAACATAGCCTGAGGACCTAAACAATTCAAGACTTATATTAAAACTCTAACAGTAGAGAATAAATAATAACCGTAATAATCCGGAGTATAAAAGAAAACTTGTCATTATTTTTAAAATTATAAGGATTTTTGAGTTTATAATTGGTATCTATTTTGAAAATTAATGGAATCCTCAAAAATCATACTTGGAAAAAGATAACTTTTGGAAAGAAGGAAACAGGAATGCTAAATATAGTATTTAAAATGGAAATATTTTGTAAAATTATAAATACAACTTTATCAATGTTAATAAATATAACAGAAAATAAACCTAGAGCTCTCAAAAGATAGAGATCTCTTATTATTTATATACAAAATTTAAAACTTTTTAAATTTATATACAGTCTCAGTTGTAAATAGCCAAACTCGGGGGGGAGGAGGGGAGGGGATTCTTGACAAAATTTCCAACAAAAAAGTTCAATTGATGCATGAGCCAATTCTGAACAGAAAAAGAGTAAAAAAAAAAACAACTTTGTGTTTTTTATTAAATAAGAAGAATTGCACAAAAACTGTTCAAGATAATTAAATTCTAATTACACCGTTGCAAAGTAGACAATTTTTTTTTTTAGAAAACTGATTAAATTTACTGAGGTCAATGATAAAAGAGACTTTCAGAAGGTCTAATACGGCCGCTGTACACAGATACGTTGTTCATGTATGAATACTGTGTATGCAGCAGTATCAGACCTCCTGAAAGACCCTTTTATCATTGACCTTAATAAATTTAATCACTGTTTTCTCTAAAAAAATTTGTTTACTTTACGATGGTGTGCTTAGAATTTAATTATCTTAAACATTTTTTTAGCAATTCCTACTTATTCAATAAAAACCGTGACTCTCTTAAGAAAAACACAAAATTGGTGTTAAATCTTTTTCCGTTCGGAATTGGCCCATGTATCAAATGAACTTTTTTGCTTGGAATTTTGTCTAGAATCGTCCCCTAGATTTTGGCCATTAAGAACTGAAATACTGTGTACAAAAAAAAAAAAAAAAAAGGAAATCAGGCATAATCAATCTTGTCATTATTTTAAAATTCTAAATACGAACAAAAATTAAAAACAAAATTTTTCTCTTTTATTCACAAATAAACAAGAACTAATAATTAAACATTTTAAAATCATTGAGATGAAAATAAAAATCTACATTAGAAGTATAGAAAATTACTAGTTGGCCTCTGCGAATAATTCTCATATTATATTGAGCAGTGAATAAATGTTAATACAGAAATAAGTAAATTTCATATTTTATGGAAGGGAGAAATTAATTTTTTTTTTCTCAGTCCATCACATTATTCATTATAGTTAACCAGAACATGGGTACGAAGTATAACAGTCTATATCTTTGTTAACATGGTCATATTACTACGATTTATTTTTTAATTTTGTAAGGAATTTAGAAATCTTTCAAATTATATTAGGTATAATGAAGAGGAGTTGGTTGGGATGAGCAGTCATAAGTAAAAATGAAGAAATTATATTTATTTTTGTCGATGTTTCGGTCCAAGGTTCTTCATCAGTTCTGGTTCTCATGAAGGAGAACTTGTCTCGTAGAGTAGTCCTTCCTGAGAACATAGCCCTTAGGCCAAAACATAGAAACAAATAAATATAATTTTTTTATTTTCACTTCTGACCGTTTACCCCAGAGCAAACTCATCTTCATTATATTCATGATATTAAACTATTAAAACACTATATTGGGTATAATTGACAAATTGTAAACTTTTTGAGTTGTATGCAAATATAAAGTGTTCTTTTCTTAATAATTTTTATTTTACTGACTTTTCTGGAGGGTGTGTTTTTTTTTCTCAGCACTTAATGTAGACAAACTAAACTCTGTAGTAATAAAAAAAGGTTTTAGGGATTCCAGAAAAAAATATATATATTGTTAGAAATAATGAGCATGTACTGATGATTTAAGGAAAAAGAAGTTCTTTAATAACATTAAGAAGAGTCTCGGAGAAGTTACAGAGGAAGATCGAGGCCATGATCAAAGATAGTGGAAGATAACAGGAATGTGTCTAATGGAAGAAGATCACAACAATAGAAGAACTGCTGGTGAGAAAAATCTTATCAAGGAGAAATTCCTGCATAGTAAAGAGAAATAATTGCAAAGATATTCACAATTGAGGTGATACATCTAAATATTAAAACATAAACATTTATTGGCAAATGCTAATAAATAAGGAAAGCTAATAAAGGAAGGATATGAGTTTTAAAGCATTACTAATAGAACCATAATCAAAATAAATTGGAACATTTATCTATTAAGAAATGAATATATTGTTGCAAACTTCTTCACTAAAGATAAATTGCATAATACGCCAATGGTGAAGGATATTATATAATATTAAATATATAGTGTTGGGAATGTTGAAGTAGAAAGCTTTTCATTCAATATTCATCGCATTGTAATTTTGCTAGCCATTGATGATGGATGAATGTGAAAGTTTCATTCACTTTGAAAGACACATTTCTGAATGAATAACCTGTACCACTAACAACCCATGAAGGGTTCAGTACAATGTAAGGAAGTACTGTTACAAGGCCAACGGTTGCGCAGAGAGATGATTGGACCGATATCACGCTCAACCGCCAGATTTCCCCCCTTAATTAATTATTTGTATTAAGAGTACTCACTTTATAGAGGCTAAGTGTGCCCCACAGTCAATCCACGGCTAATGAAAAATTACTAGTCATGATCTAGATATTTAACCAGCACCCTAGAATACAAATATTGAAAGATTTGAGAGGAGAATACTCCACATAGCTGGAACAATATTGGATTAGAGTATTAACACACAAGAAGAGGACCAATAAAGAACTGCTTAGAGAAACTGGTCAATCAATATCACATGGTATAAAAGCTAGGAGGTTAAGATGAGTAGGACATGTAACTTGGAGCAATCCGTCAGGAAAGCCTCTACACAACAATGAATGCCTCAATAGTAGACAAGAGACCATATGGGAGGTCAAAAACCAAATTGATAGATAGGATCAACAAAGATACTGCAGAGCTGCGTGCAGAAAACTGGAAAGCAATATCCAAAGATAGCGAGTGATAAAGGAGGCTGGTTAAGGTGATAAAAGATCTACAAGATCGTTAAAGAAAAAAGAGAAAAAAAAACTGACTAGAATAAATAATTTATGAAGTATACATAAAATGTTGAACAGAGTTTTAAATCGATAATTATTTATTTCACAAAATCGGGTAATAATTATTACATTTGATTTTAAATTTAAAAATCATGCCTGATTTATAAATAAAAATTTAAATCGATCTTTGAACAATTTATTTCATTAAAAAAAATGATTACTCACTGAATTATACCATTTTATGTAAATAATAATGATTAAATTGCGATCAAAAAATTTTTGATCAGACAATAAAAATCACCTTTCATACACAAATTAAATTAAATACTGATATGTATGCATATGTTATCAATGTACACATTTTTTAATATATTTCTGAAATTCCTTTAAATGTGATACGCAAAAGCAATTTCAGAAATATATTAAAAAATGTGTACATTAATAACATATGCATACATATTAGTATTTAATTTATAAAAGAATATATATATATATATATATATATATATATATATATATATATATATATATATATATATACACATATATATAATTCTGTATGCCAAAATTTCTAATGAATATTGGAAGTAAAGATGTTCTGTTGCTATTATTTGACGATACTCTCCACCTACTATACCCGACTCAAAATATATCATAGAGATTACACAAAATTAATGTTTCTGATTTAAAAGTATTACTCAAGAATTATTATTATTGCTCAAAAATAATGATCAGGATATGATTTATGTCGCTTATCATCATAAATAAAAATCGCTCTTAATAAATATAAAATGATTTATAAAAATTTTGATCAGATTTGATTTTGATTTTTATAATTATCGATTTCAAACCGTGATGTTGAAAGAGCTTACTTAGGACATGCCTCATTTTAAGAGACTAAATGCTAGTTAGTGGGAAAAAAGAACCAACAATTTGAATGAATGAATGAGATATAATTTTCAAATTTCAATCAGATGTATCATTTCTCATGCTGGGTTTGGCATAATAAAATTTTTTTTTTTTTTTATACAATTATAAGTCTGTGTCTCTAAAAGTTATAAATGAACAATGGTTATGCATAAATGCATCAACTGATTTTTTTATTTTTATTTAGTGATTATTCATACTTTTTAAATCACTCAATAGAATGCAGAAATATACCAAGTGATTAGAGACAACAGCTTTTTACATTTCTGTTCTGGGCCACATGACATTGTCGTTATGGAATATAGAACAATGCGAGAAAGTGATTTAAATGATCATCAAAAAAATAAAATCAGTTGATTCGTTTATACATAAAACAGTCAAAATATAAATAAAAAGCATCATATCTCATATGGCCAAAGAACAACTGTAAAAACTAAACGTTTAAAAACTATGAAACTCCATTATCTAACTTCTATCTATTCACAAACTTTATTAGTAGAAAATATTATAAAATAAATAATTTAAAAATATCAATTATGAAATAGATTAAAGAAGCTAAAAGCTAAGCATTAAAAATTCGAAGAAATATAACTATTCGTTAATTTTAATAGCAGGTAACATAGTGCTCTTTGAAAAATATTAAAGAAGAATGGTAACATCCAACATCTTATCACAGTTATAGATAACGTATATTTAGTAACGAGCCTTAAAATCGCACAAAACTACTTTCGTTTTATCATCAGTCTTCGAAGACAGATGTAATAATTTTTTTTTTTCTTTGGCAGGATACAATGACAGCAATTTCAGCCTATTTAAACCATACAAATTTGCACTTTTCTAAAATGAATTAAACATTTTACTATTCTACCTTTAATCGGATCTGACCCAAATAAAAATTAATTGTATCACACTAAGTTGGCTTGTTTTTGGGTTCAGCAAAAGTAAACAAGATAAAATATGGAAACATTACAAAAAAGGTTAATATATGTAATAGAAAATTTAAATAGACTAAAATATGCTAAAAATTATCTTAAAGCAGAAGAAAAACATTTAAAAGCTTTGCAATAAGAACTTATTTCTATAATACCATTAGATTCTAAAAATAAATTATTATTAATTAGATGGTGCATTTAAAAGAAGTGAAAACTATTAGAATAAACTAATTCTAACAAATAAGGAAAAATTAAAAACAGAACCCGACAGTATTTCTTAACCTACAAAATTGTTAAATATACGAACTGCCTACTTATCCAAAATACAATATTCTTTAATTAATAAAAAATATACTGCTTTTAAATATATCTTATATAGAATATATTTTTTAAATATTTTGTTCAAGCAGATCAGTAGCCATTATATGCTGGAAAAATCTTCTGAATAAAGCAATTGCACTGTCCCATATCGCTGCTGCAACTTTCTCTTGTATTTGAAATAAATAAACACAAAAGTGTCTAAGCGGAGACACAAAAATGTATTCTTTGTTTTTTAAATATAAACTTTTAGTCACATCATGAAGCTCCACTACTAAACAAATAAATTAATAAATGCAATTTTTTAAATAAACTAACAAATATGAGATAAAATTATTCAAACATACTTTAAAGCGGGTCAATACTTTTTTCAAATTGAAAGAATTCAACCAAGCAAATGTTAGAAACAGCAGCCTTCGAAAGAAATCAAAAGATGGATAATACAAAATTAAGACACTTTTAGATTGTTGACACGTTCGTCGGAAACATTTTCAGCCGAGAGCATATCCAACGTGACGAAAAGAAAACAGAGTAGAAGCGGACCAGCTATCACTCCTTCAACTCCGAGCCAGAACATTCCACCGGCGACGGACAAACCAGTCAGATATGGATGCCCCCTGAAACAATCGTTGTTTTTATAAAACTACTTTTAAATGGTTTAAATAATTTGACATTTTTATAATGAATTTGAAAGATAATGGCATCGATAAAATATATCTAATTTATTTAAAATAATTAAAATTTATCTAATGTATTGTAAATAACCTAATAAGAGTTAAATGTAAATATTGTTTTTTGGCAGGAATAGCTAATAGCCTTCCTCTTTTATATCGGGGAACTAGGTTATTTACACTCGTGAATATTAAAACAAAACCCCGGCACTGGATATAGACTTTTGGAGGGTGTTTAACTGTCGTTGGGGATTCGGGAATCTAATACCTTTTGAGACACTTAGTGAGAAGAAACCATAAGAATATATATATATATAAAATGGGACTGAGTAAATACACTTTAAATGAATTGACTCACCTGGTTTGTTATTCTTCGATCGTGAGGCATATAGGACAACTAAATAAAATGACTTTTCACTCCTGTATAATAAAACAATTTATTTTACAACTGTAATAAATTAATGTATAACTGTAGGCTTGATATTCTTAGTCTTCAATGTAGTATATCTCTCTTCTGACAACTTCCTTTCTTCCTGTCTAGGCCTAGCGTTCTCTCGCATCCGTGTCCTAGCCTCAAGTACCCCTTCTCTCCCTGGCGTCTTCCTCCAGCTGCTGCTACCTGGTCTGACCTTTTTCCTTCTTCATCGATTGTTTATCGATATGAGACTTTTCAAAGAACAATTTGTCCACTGCACAATTGAGTACAATTCACAGTGCAACCTCACATTCCTATATATTATATATTCCTTCTCATTCCCTCACATAATGTCACATAAAGGAGTAAATACAGGGGGCTGTCTATATCTGTATATGTAAACTAAAATGAACATAATGATGGAGGTATTGTTGCCTTTGGAACTAATTCAAGAAAATCAGTTGAGGAAGGGATGGTATGTTCAGGAAAGAACAACCTCAGATAATTAAAAAATGGTACTGAAATAATTGACTGTAGATAAGATAATTTGACCGAGCGGGCCAACACCTGTGCACAGCATAAAATAATGAGTTCACATCCTGATGCCGTGGAAAGGTTTTTAAATCTGACATTAATCTCGTGGCTCGGATAAACCCCCTATCAGCCTAAAAGGTGAGGAAGGGAAAGACAAAAAAAAATGTTGAGGTTACAGACACAGTGAAATATACATTATATAATATAATTTGTATTCCCTTTATAGTAAATTCTATACTATTTTTTGTCATTTAATTTTTATATGCAGTGTTTTTTACCGGGCCGACAATCATTGCCAGAGTTAAAAACCCTTCTCTCCCCAGCACCAGGACGAGAATTTGTAATTATTTTATTGTAGTATCTTCGATTATCAGGTCACCGGGCAACATATCTTTTGCACGCACTTTAGCCCGCTCGGCCACCCCACCCCTTAATATGTTTGGTCATCACTTCCTAAAATATAATAACATTTTTTGTTTATGTGTGACAACATTTCAAACTAAATTGAATGTCTTCAGTACAATGAAATATCCAGACTTATATAGAAATTACTTTTTTTGTAGACATTTCTATAAAATTTAATTTCTTTTTAAAGAAAATATCTTTAGAATAAATTTAAATTAATAATAGTAATATTACTAATCTTTGAAGCTAACGGCAAAAGTATATTGTTCATAATAATGTTTACCCTTCTATTTCCTTGTAGACTGCTGTTTCCACTATCATTGTAGGAAATATCTGTGCAATAAACAGACCGACAGCTCGTATTTTACTTTCTTGAACGAACCACAAATCTAGAAATGCCGGCAAACAAGCCCAATATGTTCCTAGAAATGGCACAACTCCTAGTATCCCAGCAAATACTGAAAATAAACATAATGATGTAGAGATGGCTGATCCTGATTATAATATGAGAAGGAGTTGGTCAGGGGTTGCGGTCAAATAAATACTGTCTATTAAAATAATATTTTATTGTTAACACTGTAATAATAAAATACCATTTTAATAGATAGTATTTATTTGACTGCACCACCCGACTAATTCATTCTCAGAAAATAAACATAAATTAATTTTAAGCAATATACTTAAATTTTCCTATTATAATATTTGTAATTTTCCTCTAAATGTGGATATTTTAAATTAATAACTGAAAAATAAAAAAAATGTGATAATGAATAGATAGAATACATATATAGTTATGTATATAGACAGATAACATAATTTAAAGAAATTTCTGAAGATATAAAACAAAAATAATATCTATTATTCTAACCACCTGGATAAACATCTAACTTGGAATTCTCATACCAGACTGAAACGACAAGAAACCACTCAACGTTTTCAACTACTTCAGCATTTAATAGACAATACTCTAAGCTTCCTATTAATTACAAACAATATGGACAAACATCTAACCTGGAATCCTCATACCAGACTAAAAAGACAAGAAACCGCATGATGTTTCCGACTGCTTCAGTACTAACTAGAAAAATACTCGAAACTCTCAATTAACTACAAAAGACTCATATACATGACTATAATGAGGCATATTAAGTTGAGCTTTGGAGCTCCACTAAGCCATCGAATTCCTCTCGAATCCAATCCTTATAATTCAAAATCCTTTGTAAAATCCTCCATGCTCCTTACTTTGTCACAAATAAAATAATCCATAAAGACTTTTTTTCTCTTTGAGAATGATGTTGGAGAAAGCTCGTGAATATAATATTCAAACCCACCACCTCTTCATCAATGTCCGGACTGAGTATGACAGTGTATTGAGAGAGGAACTATTCAGGGTGATGTTGGAAATGGGTGTCCCTAGAGGACTGGTATGTTTGATTTGTCGAACAATGGAGTCCGTCCAGTAATTTGGGCGAGTGGAGGGGGAGTTATCGCATGCTTTCACCACATGCAAGGGCTTAAGACAGGGAGATGGGCTGGCCTGCCTGCTGTTTAATTTTGCCCTAGAAGGAACCATTAAGCAGTCAGGAATTCAGGTTGGTGGAACTATTTTCAATCGCATGGTGCAGCTCCTTGGATACGCTGATGATATCGACATCATAGGTAGAACTTTTACGGCAATAATCATAGGTAGGGCTTTTACGGCCATACATGAGTGCTAATGCTACAAGAAGAGTACCCGAACGCATTCAAGTTCAAAGATACACATTTGATACTGTGAACGAATTTATACACCTGGGATCTCTAATTACAAGCGACAATGCAGTGGGGGCTGAAGTGCAACGCAGAATACAGGCAACCAACAGATGTTACTTTGGACTAGTCCCGCAGCTTAAAAGCAGGGTAATCTCCCAAACAACAAAGGTGCAACTGTACAAAACCCTAATTAGGCCTGTTCTCACCTATGGTGCTGAGGCGTGGACGCTGACCAAGGCATTGAAGGAAGATTTGCGCCCCTTCGAAAGGAAGGTGCTCAGGAGGATTTTAGGACCAGTCTATGATCCAGAGGGGCCCACCTGGAGAAGGCGAACAAACCAAGAAATATTGAGTATGTACAAGGATAGGGACGTCGTCCGTTTTATAAAGGTGGGACGGCTCCGGTGGGCTGGTCATGTGGCTAGGATGAGCCCAGAGGAGCCAACTTGAAAGATCCTGGATGAGAAGATTGAAGGAAAAAGAAGAGTTGGACGCCCAAGGCTGCGCTGGCAGGATGATATGACATCAGATGCCTGATCCATCCTGGGAACAAGAAACTGGAGAGCAGTGGCACAAAGAAGACAGGAATGGCAGAAATCATAACAGAAGACCCTGACTTCTAATGGGTTGTAGCGCCATTAAATAATAATAAATAATAATGACCTTAATGTTCCACATGTTTCCGAATTGGCCCAATCCAGATACCTATCCTTCCATAATAAACTTCATAACCATCCGAATACTCTTGTTTCTAACCTTGCTTCCTCTTCTATCCCTGATGACCCACCGAGGCATCTGACAAGAAGTCTACTAATGCCTCCTAATCTCTTAGAAATTTGATTAGAATGCTACCAATGGGTGGTTTTTTTACAACTGTTCTCATGTCATTGCATTTCTCTGAACACATTTACTAGATGTATATTTAATTTATAAAGTAGTAAATTTCATGAATAAATAAAAAAAACATTTGGACCATAACCTACCTGCTGGCATATATGAGAGATTACTTTGGAAAACTTTGTGAATGAGCCAGGTCCAAAGGCCATAAAATGCAGAAAGTTTGGCTGAAGCAGCGAGTACTTCTTGGCACGAATTCTCCACGGCTAAAGCTAACCTGTACAAGAAGATGCTTTTAAATTAATCAATTATTATTAGATAAAAGCTAAATCCTTGCACATCAATATTCATACCTCTTTCCGTATTTTGGACTTAGCTGCGTGATGATTTCGACTGGTTTATAGACTTCTCTACTGCTACTCAGAAGGTAAAATAAAGCAGTCAAAAAAACGATCTGAAGTAACAGAAATTGTGTCCATTAATAGGCGAAATATATTTATTTTAATATCTTAATTAAAATTTTATATATGATAAATTGATACCATATGTAGGGTGAAATTGATCAGAGAGATACCTCCACCAAAGAGGATCGAGATTAGCGTAGAAACTAAGCTTAGAAGAAGTGACATGTTTCCTTTCAGGATGAGCCAAGCAGAATTCAAGCCAGAATTCAGGGCAGCCATATTTTCCAAGATGAAATCTTTTATCCATTCCACTGACATTACTTCTAAATAAAGTATAATAAAAATAATATTAATTTTATAATTACACTACTGCTACTATAATAAATAATATACCTGAAATTAAATAACATGAATATTGTTGGCAAAACATTTTTTCATAAGTTCCCTGCTCGTCGGAACTAACTCTCTGCGATTTCTTTTTATGGAAGTACTTGAAGTCAAAAACATACGTTGACAAACCACATACTATTCCACACTTAAAAGAAGCTATACAAGGTGAAATCGGAAATATAGGAATATAGGAGGATGCAATGGGGAACATTAACAATCTCCTGCAGGAATACTTCATCATGGAAGGATGGCATATATCATATTATATTATTTTTTTTTTTATATGGAGATACTGTTAGTCTCATATACAAGATACTAATCTCCAGAAATGATGTAGGCGAAATCCCTATAGAGCATGACAAATTAATGTTCACTGAACATATTAATTGCAACATTAATGATGAATATATAACGGAGGACTCATCAAGACTTGAAAATGAGCCTTAGTATGGTCGAAACGTCAAATTTAATGCGTATCAATAAAATGTTGGTGATAATTAGACTAATTTATTATAAAAAATAAAAATTTAAATGTTAGTTTGTTCAAAATTGCTAATCTCCCAAAGCCCTTCACTGAATACTTTGAAATTTTGATACAATGTTGCAACGTAAATGAAGTTTTTCTTTCTTTTTTCATAGACATCTCTGAAACATAGATTTCTCTGGTGGATATGTTTATTTTATTGGCAATGAAGGCGAAGATGATCTTCAAAATGATGGTCCAATCATTAGATTAGATGAACTAATAAAGAAGATATGACATATCGACAAAAGAATACCTTTGAGAAATAATAAATAAAGATATACTCTATGTAATATAAATGAATACTACACCATTCTAACCTGGAGTTTTCTGAAGCCTTTCGAGGAAACTGTAACACGATGATAGGACAGCATCGGGAGTGACAGCAGGTCCGACTCTTGGCTGTATCGGCATAACCCACGCTTGATACGCACGATCCCAAAGCTCTAGGGCTCCGTTTTCTATTTCCAAACCCTTCTCCTCGTCGATGCCCCGACTTTTAAGAGCACTACGAACCTGTTTTATTATATACCAATGATTGATAGATAAAAAAAAGAATTTTAAACTACCATAAAAAATATAATTTTTTACCATTTTAGTTATAAATTCTCTGGCATATATATAGGCATTCTCTAAAGCAGTTTCTGTTGTAGCTTTCCAATCATCTGGAAGCAGTTGATGAACCTCTGGGTTACTGATTATAGTTTTATTTATGATGTCGCCTCCGACTTGAATTAGGTAAACCCCTTCTTTATAAGCCTAGACAAATCAAATGCCATAGTAAAATAATTATTGCTGGATATTAAATATTAAAGGTGGTAGCAAAATTATATTTAATAAAACATTAGATGATAGATAAACTACAAAATGATACTCGTAACGAAACAACTACCCTAATTGCACCTTTTTACAGTATCTGACTTTTCTCCTTACCTTCATCAATATTTTACTACAATTACATTTTGGATAAATTACAGAATCAACATCGAATAATAATTAACACAATTTTTCAAACATTAAAAATGTCAAGGATATAACAATCAGCTGCAATTGTCTTAGACTAAAATGTTTTTTAAATTAATCCTATTTACACTCTGGCTTTTATTATTATACTAAAATTATCTATTGTAAAAGAGTATTTTAAAAAGGGGTATTAGCAGAGAAAGATGTAATAGAAGAAATTAGGCCTCTTATCTTACTTCTGTATTAATATTAAATATACTGATATATTTTTCTCAGAAGTAATAATAAGAAAAAACAAAATACCTGAAATGTAAGAAACACTGAACAGAAAAATCCAAAGACGAGGAGACATAGAATGACGGCAACAGCTGCAGCTGAATCACAAGAATCTTTAATGACATGAAGTAATTTGACTTTCAACTCACTACAAACCTGAAAAAAAAATTATAATTTTATGATATATTATAATAATAGAAAGGAAAAATAAATTGTAAGAATATTTAAGATGCACTTTTTTCATAAAAATTTAAATTTGAAGTCTAAAATCCTACTTATACAATGTATGTATAAGGCTTTTTAAAATAATATTAAGTTAATTCCCATAATAAAAGTTTAACCTAGATATTTATGAAATATTGTAGTTTTTCCCTGTATTTGCTGAAATTTAATTATTGTAATGAATTATCATCAGTATCTTATGGTATCATAAGATACCATTAAAAATATTGTATAATACATTGTACTACTTATCATTTAAATTTATTATAATTGACTGTATTGTAAATATTAATTGTAAAACTATTGTATACCTTCATACAAACTGTTTTATGTTTGAATTGACTGTCATATTTTATTTCATTACAAGCTAATAGTCATCATTTTTTTAACTATAAGAAACAACATAGCGATTGTGCACATGTTATCTTGAATATTTTATTCATCAAATGACTTGCATTCCACAAACAAAAATATTAGCTCCCTGTGACTTTGTTTACCTACATTTTATACTTAAGAGCACATCTGGAAAATCCTCCTCCCGATACTCCTACTTACCTACCTAAGTTTACTTACTCAGGTTACTTACCTACCTAGGTTTAGTATATATTGTATTATTGTATACTATATATGTAATTGTTTCAATAAACATTTTGGAGGGTAAGAAAAAAAAAAAAAAAAAAAAAACTACCTAGGTTTATCCATGTACTTACCAGTACTTGAACAACTTCAGTGCTCAAAAAATGGTTAGTAAGAGTAAATATTAAATTTCTGATAAATTGACTACATACATTATTTTTTAGTTTGTATAACTTATTATATATAGTCCGTGCTACAGATCTCTTTTTATCGAATTATTAACATCCGCCTGAAACTTCGTAAATAGTTTCATCTCATCATAACCTAAAAATACTTTATTTAAGAAAACTCTTGGCATTGGGGCGCTTTCAAACTGGAAGGGGACAAACTTTGTCTATTTAATTAGGTACTAAAAACTTGTAAATACCCATTTGCTCTCTAATTGGATCGTAAGGTAAATTGAAAAATCGATAAAAAAGGTTACCTACAAAAATATTGGGCCATTTGTCCTATATAACCTCGTTATTTTGAAAATTTTAGGGGGTGTAGGTCATGCCAAACGGCTCAATATTTTTGAAGGCCACCATTTTTCTCGACTTTGTGATCAAATTATCTTACGACTCAAATAGAAAGCAAATGTGTATTTACGAATTTTTAGTACCTAATTAAATAGACAAAGTTTGTCCCCATCCAGATTGAAAACATCCCAATTCCAAGAGTTTTCGTAAATAAAATAGTTGTAGGTTACGATAAGATGAAACTATTTACGAATTTTCAGGCGGATGTTAATAATTCGATAAAAAGAGGTCTATACCATGAACTATTATCTGTCTTATAATATTATATCTCTGATTGTATTAAACAATTTTTCAACCCTGATGATGACCCACACGTTTGGGTTGAAACGTAGGCACCAATAAAAACCTTAAAAAGTATTGCGTCCTGACTATTTATCACCTATAATAATTGTAACATTTCTTATTCAGTGACAATAATAATTGACTAAATTTGAAGAATTGTAATTTATATAACATTAAATGTGATAATATCTTCCGTCTCATGTTATAGCAACGAATGTGAGCCTGTTGAATGTTGCACAATCATTACTTTAACATGGTGCTGACGATATAATGGCTTTATACTTCAAACATTTAGATAGCAGTGAAAAAGAATTGTGTACTTGCATTGAATTAAATTTTTATTAGTTTTTAATTATAATAAAACCACAAAAAGTCCTGAATTTTTCTGATGCATAATTGTAAAGATAATTAACATTAGAAAAAAGTGATGGGGACCAAGCTGTGTCATAAGAGTGGAGAAAAGGCAACGTCATGCAACCAGCACTTATTATCATAGAATAGTTTTCCCAACTATGGTACTAGGTAACAATTAATTATAATCTTATTTTATATATTGTTTTAAATGATAAAAAATCATAATAATGCTCATGACGTGATTAGAAATATCAATAAGTTTATAAAAAAAAAATACCTCAAAAGTATCACTTAAAGTAGCAGGATACAAAATCTGCTTTCTTTGTATAAACCATGAGCTAACATTTTTTTTAATGATTTCATACTGCATCTTTAATACATCCATTATTCCAAAAGTGAAACCTAAAATAATAAATTACTAAGAAAATATATCATTATAAGTAAAAAGAAAAATGAAATAAAATAATTATAGTAATAATTTTATCGATACTTACAAATATATTTTAAAACGTAGACAGCTAATAATACCAGAACAATATAAAGGAAAGATGGTATGCTGATTATAACAATGCAAAGGCAAGCATAACTTATCCATCTTATCACCTGCATACTGAAAACATAAAATGAAATAGTAATTAAAATATGGATAATTAATTAAATTAAAAACTAAATGGGACAAAAGTTATTAAAAGATTCTCGTACAAAAAAATCTATCGAATAGCAATAAATCATTAATCAATCAACATTCTATAGATCATTAGGGCAGATTAAGATAGCATCAAAATGTTTGAAGGAGCACATTTCTAAGGGACGGTGAATGTTTTAGAGGAACCGTGTTGTGGAGTTTCAATTTAGTCGATCATTTGAATCCGGGAACAGGTCACAGGGCTTGAAATTAAATATTAACTTTTATTTTTAATCAGTTTCGGTAAGACTGGAATCTTTATTTTCAAGTTTTTATTTTGTTATTTCAAAACTAGAACTTTTTCTCTTACAACTTTTCAATTAAAGCTTTAACAGAACTTTTATTCATACAAAAGTTTTATTAAAGTTCTGTTGATTTCATAAAAAAAAAACTTATTCATAGCTATTGAAATCAACGAAACATTAGGAATAACAAATCTTATATCTCCCGAAGAGGAAAGAGAAGATTTCTACGATGCATTAGAGAGAGAGCTCGACAGTTGCCCTTGAAGTGATGCAAATATTCTGCTAGGAGACTTTAATGCCAAGGTTGGCCAGAAAGAAATATATCGCCCTATGATTGGAAAATGGAGCCTCTATGAAGAAAGCAACGAAAATGGAAAGAGATTAATCAACTTTACCTTCTCAAAGAATTTCATTAATGGGAGTATCTTCTTTCCTGGTAAAAGGATTTACAAAAACACATAGAGGTCTCCCGATGGTAAAACATTTAACTAAATTGACCAAATCGGCTTGCCACAAATCCAACCTCATCAGCAGCAGAACCTTTTGTGGCGCTAACTTGAATTCGGATCATTACTTGGTAATATCCAGAATATAAGCTAGAATATCACAGTAAGGAGGACTGGTAAAAAATCAATGCAGACAAGTTGAAGGACCCTGAAACTCGCCAAAGATATGAGGAACGGTACAGCCATCACATGAAGAACATAAAGAAAGAAATGGGCAACGATTCTGAATTGGAAGATGAATGGAGGGTTCTGAAAGAAGCTAACGAGGTCTGCTGAAGAAGAGTTAGAAAATGAATCAGGATATACGAGAGATGAGTTGTTTGATTCAGAATGCCAGGCAGCAACAAGTGCAAAAAACAGAGCTTACAAATCGATGGTGCTCAGGAGATATACTAGGCTATCGTCGGAAGAATGTAGAACTTTGCAGAGAAGAAACTATACCGAAAAAAGAAGAAAACCTGGGAAAGGAAAACCACAGTTCAAAGAAAATTATAATTTCATTAAAAATCTATATTATATATCGCGCCTTGTTGTCAATTTATATTATTATAATTATTGAAATTAATAACAATAATATATATTAAACTTGTCAGGCTCATATAGGCCATATATACCATTAACAATTATCTGGAACTTTTTTTTGGATCATAAAAAACAATTTTTTTTTTTACAAAATTTTCTAAATTTTCAAGGACATTTTAAGTTCATTAATAAAATTAATAATTTCAAGGAAAAAAATTTATTGAACCCTTTCATCTCTCCATGCTTCAATTCATTTTTTTTTTTTTTCGACGTAATTTTGGATTTGATCCATTTAAGCTCTAAACACCTACATTTTACACGATTAATGATTTCTTAAAGGGAACTTTATAACTTTAAGTAGTATCTTTGATTAGCTCTTAAATTTTAAGAAAGTTGCCAAACAGTGAAAAAATATGAACATATTTTCTTACCTGGAAATATGGTCAGAAGTTGTTAAAGAATCCTACAGAAGAGAACAGTATTTAGAAACAGTTAATTAATATTAACAAAGAAATAAAATAATAAGTATCAACCTTATTATCACTCGTAATAGATGATTCCTCTTGAGTATTTCCATAGGAAGCAGAACCTAAAATTATTAAAAATGTTTTCTTTGGTTCAAATATGGAAAATCTGTTTTATGTTAAAAAACAGATAATGTACTGACCTGATATTTTATATAGACAGCAACCAAAAGGAATAAACTGCAAAAATACAAAGAGTGCCAGTCTTAAATACCCAAAAAAATTGGAAAACCAGGCAGCAGTGGCAATCCATAAAATTGCATTAAGTAAATAGAAATAAGCTTCAGTTCCCGGTCGCCAAAAAAATATGAGGCAAGAAATGTATAAGATAATCAATGAGATAAACTGAAATAAAATATAGAAAATTTAATATATATATATATATATATATATATAAAAAAAGAAAAAGAGATATTTTGAATGAATCGACACTTACCAAAGGGGTATTATCGAAGATATCCAGCAAAAAGAAAAGAGATATTTTACTGAAATTAAAAAATATGCTGTTCAATTGAATAATGAATTGAGGAGTGTACAAATAAAGTAGGATAGCGGAGCAAATACTTCCGACTGATTTGATCAATAACCATTTATGTAATAATAAACAGTTCCCCAATCCATCTGAAGCTGTAAAAATCAATGAAAATGGTATGAAAATAACATTTAAGGAAATTGGTTTTGAATCACTTTCCAACTTTGTTATTTCAGTCCTGACTTTATCGGATATGATCTGCTTGAAGGGGTGTAAGACAGAACCCCAGATCAAAGCCCATATTAAAGGTTTGATAAATGGTTGCAAAATACAATAAACTCCATAAGTGACAACCATTGCTAATAACACTGCAACAGTTGCAAGACCATTATACATAGCAAATTTAAATTGATTATCTGTTTCTGATGATAGATTTTCCAAAATCCCTCCCATAGAGAAGATGCTCTTCTTTTTGTATCTCGCCTCCATATTTGAGAAAATATTTGCTGACTGATCATTCGTATTTTAAAATTAACTATCAACAGGCTCTGTAGCCTTTGACAGGCCAAGCAGAAGGCTATGACATTTGGTTCACATTATAACCTCCCAGACGTTTACTGTGGGCGTGAAATGTAACTAGTTGTTACAAAGTAACTGGTATCAAGTTAAATAAATACTTAAAAAAATAATTATAAGTATCAGTAGTTCCTCACGTAAATGTTTCACTTTTAAACTATATGTATGTTTATAAAAATAAACAAATTTGTAATCTTAAAGCTTCTTTAATAATAATTACATTATAATTTTTATTTAACAGTCATATAGAGCAGATACTTGTAACCATAACTACTGTTATTAAAAATATAACGGCAAAGGAACTGGAACTGATAGTTACTTTCCTAAGTACTATCCCAAATCCGAATTCCAGAAGGTTGAAATCATTGTAAAAATTATGAAACCATTGCGTCATATTCCCTGACCTAGAACTTAATCTAAACATTAGATTGCGTTTTAATTAATTAGGTTACAGTTAAATGGGTTCAACCATTAATAAGATATCTTTAAAAGATAAATATTTTTATTTTTCTAATCATATATTGTATTTTTTTCTTTATGGGAATATAACTTTTAACATAGGAAATATTACTTTGAATGTATTTATTTTTAATTTATCATTATTAAATATAATGCATTCATAAAAAAAAAAGTTTCAAAATAATTAAAAAATAAATAAAAGACCAAAGCTCACAGCAAATTTAAATTTATTTAATACATTTTAATTCATAATTATGATTTAATATTAGTTTTACATTTATTATAAACGCCTTTATTTATTTTTTTCCATTAATATTAGATAAAATTATTATTTATAAACAACAAAATAAATTTTGTTAACTTAATAAATGAATTACAGAAAAAAGATTTTAATTATATATTTTTAAAATATTAATTTTAGAAATTCAAAGACGCCAACAGTCAAATTTTGACCAAATTTGTCAACAAAATAACATTAAACAAGTACTTATCTTTGAATGGTACAAAGAGAATAATTTATATAAATTATGGTGATGAGCAAATAATTTAGAAAATTTCTAATATTTCTAAAAAAGGACTGAGTCAAGAATATAATATATAGAAATTAAATTTTTTGTATAAATATTTTTTTTTATTAATAAATTTAATGCAAGATATAAGTGAATATCTGTTCCTTCACCTTCAATTGATTAATATTAAAAACTAATAACGATAAAAGACTTATCGAACATTTAGATTTGATGCCAATACCACTAGCTACTGTCTACATACTTCCATCCATCTTAACTCTGCAAGATCGGCCTTAAGTCCTCCCAATTTCACTTTAGTCCAGGGGGGACCCAGAAGGGGGTTTCATGGATTTGGGGGGTTCAAATCAAAAGAAAAGTGGAAGCAGAGAACAGAACACAAAATGTGTTATTGTATATAATATATAAATATTTAAATTCTACTTTCGTTTCCACTGTTTTTAAGAAGCCGAGAACAATAAAATACCTTGAGAGGGGTGGTGGAAAGTTTATGCGCCATCGGCCTTGGGGAGAAGGGGGGCGGGCACTTCTGCTTTAGTCTAATTCACAGTTGCCACGTCGCTTTTAACCTTTAAGGGATTCAAACTATTTTATTCACTATAAAGCTATCACCTCAATTATATTTAGTGGGTACAGTTCATACAACTTAGCTTTGTTTGGCTGTCTCAAGTCTACTGTTCACCCACTTTTTTGGTCTGATTCCATATATGATATATAAATTAATAACTTTTATTCAATTAATTAATAAATTTGATTTGGCTATCGAATCAAACCAAATGAAAGCAACTTAGCACAAAAACATCGGATCACATAAAACAATATATTTATTAACTTATTGTTTATTTCATACCTTACTGTACCCCAGTCATTAGGACGAAGTGGGTATTATCCAGTACATGGTATTTGATAGTGTGTTGATTTGTCAGGATTTAAACCAGATTCATGCAATTTACCAAGCCAATGAAATAGGATTCTTATAGTCCGTGGTACAGACCCCTTTTTATCACATTATTAACATCCAGCTGAAACTTCGTAAATAGCTTCATCTCATCATAACCTGCAAATATTATATTTACGAAAATTCTTGGAATTGGGGCGTTTTCAATCTGGAGGTTGGCAAACTTTGTCTATTTAATTAGTTACTAAAAATTTGTATATAGCCTTTTGCTTTCCACTTGGATCGAAATCAATAAAAAAGGTGGCCTGCAAAAATATTAGGCCGTTTGGTCTATATAACCTCGTTATTTAAACAATTTAGGGATTTAGGTCACGCCAAACAGCTCAATATTTTTGACAGCTTAGACATCTGTCATTTTCAGAAAGTGGAGAAAAAGATAATTTTTATTTTATAGGATCAACTCAAACTGTTTTTAGTCATTTTATTTAATAATGTTGAAGTTGAATTATGAAAAGTTATATTAAAAAAACTACTTTTTCTCGACTTTTTAAAAATGAAAGATGTCCATCTTTCATATGATGTCATTCATATGCTAGCAATTATAAGGTGGGATCTATTTGTCACACTGTATACTGAATCAAGAAAAATTATATTTCGTCCTTCGATATATCTATTCCATTTATTAATTATTGTTAAAAAATGAAAAATTATTCAAATACCATTTATGCTGGTGTAAACAAAGTATAAAATGACAAAATTATTAAGAATAAAATTTACTGAGAACAGATAGAATTTAAGAAATTTAAATTTAATACTAGTATATTCATAAAATAAATACAATCTACTTAAAACTAACAACTCTATTCATTTTAAGTGCAGGATAGGTTGGGGCTTTAATAAAGCAAATCAAGTGATTATATGTATATATTTAAATTTAATGAATACATTATGTTTTCATAACAAATAATTTATCATATATGCATGACTAAATATTACAACCATTACCTCTACAACAATAATACTAAATTCATGGAATCAATAGTCAACGCATATAAATTAAGGCAACTTATTTCTGCTTATATCCATCGTTTAGGTATAAGGCTCAAAAAATAATTTGATTAATTGTATCATTGATAAATTCTTCGATGTATTAACAGCTATTTAATTGGAATGAGTTATATAAACTCAATATAGGGGACTACATTAATTTCAAACTTTGCTAAGATTTTTAATTTTTATTGAATAATAAATAAAAATTTGTAACAAAAAAAAAAATTGCAACTCCATAAACCAAAATAGACACTGTAGCCAATAGAAGAAAAGTGAATAAAATTAGAGAGAAAAAATCATTTAACTCCCAAAACAGCAACAGTAATAATTTGATTTTAGCATAATTATATTTGATTTTTTATTAACAGTTTTTATCAATACTTATAATTATTTATAAAGCTATAAAGTTAAATTTAACATTGATAAATTAATTTAAATAATTTGATATTAAGTAATGGCTAATTAATCGTATAATTTCAAATCACAGATTATAATATATAAATATAACTGACAACACTCGAAATTGCGTTAAAATTGCAATAGTGCAATATTTTCTTATATTGTATATACTTTAAGTACAAATAAGTAAAATGAAGTTGTAAGACATTTATATAATTGAACCAATTCATAAAAAATTGGCATTAGTCACATTACTTTCGGAAATGGACGATTAATTGATTTTGCAAAAATCGTAATAGATTTTTTCTTTTGATTTATCAGAATTTAAATTATTTCATTGAATTATTAATTGCTATCAACTCCTGTCACCTCTTGTGAAACTTATGCTCTCACTATATAAACTGATTCAATTGACGTAAATCAACCAAATAAACAAATCTTGAAAGTATAGTTTAAGAAATACCCAAAATAATATTCTTCCAGTTTAAGTCACAAATAAGTACTTCTTTCCATAAATTATAAAAGAAATAATTTAAAATGAACACATTTAAAATGTTGACTAAACATATTGAAAAATATAAAGATCACATAAAAAACAGCAGTCCTTACTGCAGTAAATTTATAAATGAAACCCTGCTTTGTATATGTTATTATCACATTTAAGATAACGATTACTTAAAAATGATTTTGAACGGATCTAATCAGTCTTTCTCTAAATGGAAGAGGATATCTTAAGACGATCAGATCTTTGTTTTTTATGGAAGCTTGCCTCCAAGTAACTAAATGATTTATTGATTTAATCATATATAACTGATTAATGAACATAAATAAAACCTTATTTATAATTTGAAACAGTACGAAATTTGCTGTCTTTGCAGTACACTATTGGACGATCAGGTTTGTGGGATAGTTAAAAGTATTTATCCCAGAGGTTAAATTATGGTCACAACTATCACATTTAAATTTCCACTAGTGAACTGTCAAACCTTATCAACATATTAAATTTTAATAGTGATTGTGGAGAAACCTCATGGAAATGATGCAAACAGTTAAGAAATAAACTTCAAATTTTAAAACTGTCTAATTCAATAATTTAAAAGTGAAAAGTATCTAGTACAATAAAGAAATCAAAATATTTTATATTTATTTACTTTTTAATGTATTAATTCTGTTCTTCATCAAGGTATAGACGAAAATTTAAGATAAAAATAAAATGACAACAGTTAAAATCTATATAACATGAGAATGATTATGAATTTATAAACTTTTAGCTAACCGGAGGCAAGAATTTACGGATTACAATACTTATAAAAGTTAAAAATGGAATGATCTAAAAGCATAAAAAATAAGAGCGACAAATATTACACCAATCTTTAAACATTGGAAATATAAATAATTTTTATATAATAGTAATAATAACATATCTAACAACAATATCAACAGAAACAAATAATAATAATCACAATAATACAAAAATAAAACATTTTTCATAACTTGGTACAAATCAAAGAAATAAAGATTGATTAAGTATTGATAACTGTCCAAAGAGAAAAAAATTTAAATATATAATACATAATCAATATATCATATTTATAAATAATTGATATGAATTTCTTAATTTAAAAAAAAAATAATCTGGGCAGTATTTTAAATACAAAATAAAATATTTTTTTTTTGTTATTTGAAAAAATAAATATAATTATAAAGTAATCTGTATATAAAATACATAAATACTCCTTGTATAGCAGAAATATATAAAACATTTAAATATTCATTTATTTAATTTGTAAAATATAATGGTTAAAAAGCAAAAATTATAAAATTAAGAACAAGTTATACTTTGAATTTATATCAATAAATATAATTTATTTCCTAAAAATTTAATATTCTTTGGTAATGGAAAATTAATAAAATAAAATAAATAATAATTCTAATGTGATTGAAATGCAGTCGAAGCCCTACATGATGAACATTTACAATTCTAAAATGTTCATACATTAAGTTTTTTTGTCATCATTATAACGTTAGAGATAGAGTATTTTTTGTACTTTTACAGCGTGGGTGTTTTTATTTCCATCTGTCATATGTTATGTATATAGGCTACATATTCTGTATATCTTTAACAATGTAAATAAGAAAAAATAATAACTTAAAAAAAAATATATATGCTACTTTATTCCCTCCATACTTATCGCCCAAAATAAAAAGAGAGAAAATATCACTGATTATTCAATTTCATATAAGTAAATATGTTACATGAACAGCTTATATGTAAAAAAATAGAACAAAAAAAATGCATAAACAGTAAAATATTATTATTATAAAAAATGAACTACGCATATATATCTATTTAATGAATAACTGAAAATTTTGTATGTATAAAATTTTGTACAAGATTTTTTTTAAAAGGAAATACTTTATTATATCGAATTGAAATTATCAAATTATATTTAAAATAATTTCTGCCCAGATAAGGGTAAAAAAATGATTAATTTGAAAAATTAAATTCAGTGGTTAAAATAGAAGTTTGGTTGAATGTATCAGCCATTAATACAATAAACTTTTATAATTCAACGGTGAGCCTAATATATTTTTGCATTAAACAGAGTTAACTACATAGTCACAAAAAAATACAAAAAATTACTCTCTGAACCGGTGAAAATTGAAAAAAATTCAGTAAAAACAATTAAAAAAGGAGATAATATCCAATTAAATAATGAAATAACAGTATTTGATAATGTTGATCAAATTAAAACAAATAATAAATTAAACAGATAAATTAGTCAGTGAAACTATTGCCAAGAATTTAATCTAATAACCTTTGAACTGAATAACAGACTGAAATGTTATGATAAAGATAATTAAAACTTTCACCGATTCGTATCAAACCGTTCATTTGTGCATGGTTTAAGTTTTATACATTCGATATTTGGGACGGGTGACTGAAACATAAATTCATCCACCGTACAGAAACATTTTAGTTCGAAATAAAAATTACTTACATTCTTTGCCAAATACTGGCAAAGTAAGGAACAATTAGATTTCTTTATACAATTGCTTTGGCAACAGATAAATTATAAAAGTTATGGACTGTAATTAGGAATAATATTTTCTAAAATTAAATAATACACTAATACTAAAATAGAAAATATCTATATAATTAAAAAAACGATATGGACTAAAGAAAATTATATAATAACCTATATAAAATCAGTATTCTACAAAATACCTTTACCCAAAATAAATAAATAACTTTTACAAAGTAAAATGACCTTAAATAACCTTAAAAAAAAATTATTTTGATAAATAAAAACATTTTCGAATTAGGCATTTTGTTTTAAAGTTACAATTAAAATAATAAAATTATAATACACTGTCATGTCAAAATTTCATCACTAAATTAAAAATATCCATTACAAAAATATAAATAAATATATAAATAAATAATTACATACATTTGTGGACTATGCAAATTATTGCAAAGAAATATTTGTTAAGACGTTGATTTTTGAACAAAGAGAGGAAGAAGCACCAACGAATTCAACTGAAATCGTCATTGAAAGCTAGCAAACAGCCAACAGCACCAAAGTAACCCTGACAATGATAATAATAAAAGTTGTAAAACTTTTTAGAATATTTTTATTTTTTTATTTATTGATGATATTTACAACTATATTACAAGTAAAAATACATTCAGTAAATGTGAACAAAAGAATATAATAGCATTAAATCACTTGTTGAGAAACTACCCACTGGTAGCACTCTAAAAATGTATTTACAAAAGGAGATCTCGAGGCCATCTTCTTTTCAGACACCTCGGAGAGTTGTCAGGGATCGAAAAGGAAGCAAGGTTAGAAACGAGAGGGTTAGGATGGTTCTGAAGTTTGTTATGGAAGGATAGGTATCTGGATTGGGACAGGTCAGAAACATAAGGAACATTAAGGTCGTTACGGATGATTTTGTTTGTGACAAAGTAAGGAGCTGTGAGGATTTTACGAAGGATTTTGGATTGTAAGGATTGGATACGAGAGGAATTCGATGGCTTAGTGGAGCCCCAGAGCTCAATTCCGTAAGTCCAAATAGGTCTTATTGTAGTCATGTACATGAGTATTTTGTAATTGACTGGGAGCTTAGAGCGTTTGTCTAGTAAGTGCTGAAGTAGTCGGAAACGTCGAGCTGTTTCTTGTCGTTTCAGTCTGGTATGAGGATTCCAAGTTAGACATTTGTCTAAGTGGAGTCCAAGGTATCGAATTTGTTCAACAGGGACTTTTTAGAATATAAATTATAAAATTGGTATTTAAAGAATGTAGTGTAGAGAAGGTTTAAGGATAAGCAAATTATGAATAAAGGAAGGTTTATTTTTGCTCCGAGAGATTAGAAAAGCCAGAGAACAGAATCAAGTCACTCAAAAAGTTAACAAAAAAACATTAAAATTAGAAATTATTTTATAATCAAATATTACTCTAAAATTAAAAATTTTAATATTAAATTAGTAAGCCTAAAGAAATTCAACTGATTTTTAGTCATAGATAATATCTATGTGTTTATCTATTACACAAATAATATCTATCTAACAAATAGGTATACTCCTAAAAACAAAAACTAATTTCCCTTTACGATTTCAGATAGAAAGTGTATGGATATAATACATAGGGAAGGAGAGGGGGGAAACATGTAACCTCCATACGTTTTTGCACAATATTTATCAATCAAGCCCAAGAATTAATTAATATTTAATTATTTAGGTTTTGAAACTTTGAAAATTAAAAGAATAAGTTGAATATATGTATATAGGTGTGTGTATTTAACAACAAATAAAAATAGTAACAGTAAACTATAAAAAATTGTTGCGACCATCATTAGCATGGCCTAACCTTACTGTGGCCTCTAATAATAAAAAAGTTCCCCACCTATGATATAGTCCACTGCATTTTTTACTCATAAATATAACAATAATATAATAATATAAGTATGGGAGAATAAGGCACAGTGCTCCAGATCCATATGAGACTGGGGCCTGGAGATCCTCCTTGGGCACACCCAGCCTTTATAAAATGGGTAGTCTTAATTAATTAATTAAGGGGGAAAATCTGGCATGTGAGAGTGATCATGGTCAAATCACCTCCTTGCACAACCGTTTACCAAGAAACAATACTTCCTTATAAATTATGGAACTCAAGACTTTGCATGGGTTGTAGTGAAATGAAATGAAAATATATTTTATTATTCTGGGACTGTAGTCCCTTCAGAACAAATTATAAGTACAGATTGCTTGTCTGTGTGGTCATAAATAAATTAAATACTTACAATAATGCTTAATTAAAAGTAAAAATACAGAAGAGAGAGAAAAGGATAAGAAAAACATATATATAAGACAAAAAAAGGAAACTAAAATAACAGAAATAGTCTCTGGGAGTACTCAGATAGTTCTCTTAAGGATATTTCGTAATCAGTCGGATTGAGAAAGGAGTAGGTGTTTAAAGAGGAGATGTTTGAAAGAGGAAACTGATTGTACGTGTTGAATATCAGCAGGGATGGAATTCCAGAGAGAGGCGGCTTGAATTGCAAAAGATTTGTCAGACGCAGCAGTTCGGTGAGGAGGATAGAGGTCAGAAGTACGAGATCTAGTAGAACGGGATTGGATGGAGTATTTAAATTATAAGCTGTAAAAAATATAGGAGGGTCGATGAATTCTAGTGACCTGGTATAGAAATATAGCTAAGAAGGACTGACGGCGATAGGATGGATAGAGCTATTTTAACTTGGTGTAATACTGAGTAATATGCGTATCTCTTGAGATTCCGAAAATAAAACGTAATGCGCAATTCATTAGGTGTTTAAGTTTGGCTTCGAAATCTCCTGAGAGTCCACTGTCAGCCATAGTCGAATGGGGGGAAAACAAGAGAGGAAACTATGAGTTGATAGGACTTATATGGAAGGAGATAACGTAGTGGTACAGGTTTTATAAATATAACTGTTTAGGACTATATAATTTGTCATTTCATATATATATATATATATATATATATATATATATAATATATATATATATATATATATATATATATATATATATATATATATATAAATATATGTATGTTTGTTTTTATATTGGAAGGGAAGGGAAGATTCTATAATATTATTATGATTTAAACAAAGCATGATTCACATTTCATTTTCTCTGTTATTGATTGTACGTAATGGCATACAAGAACTTTGTTAATCTATAATGCCATTCAATTCATCAGGCACATAGAATTAGAAGTGAAATTACAAATTTAAAATTCACTGTAATAGACATCCCCCTGTATTTACTCCTTTAGATGACAATGTGTGAGGGAATGAGAAGGTATATATAATATATAGGAATGTGAGGTAGCACTGAATTGTTCTCAATTGTGCAGTGGACAAATTGCTCATTGGAAAATCTCACATCGATAAAGAATCGAAAAGAAGAAAAGGTCCGATCAGGTAGCTGGCAACAGATGGCGAGGACGACGCCAAACACTTTAGGCCTGGACACCAACACAAGAAGACGTCATCTGGGAAGAGAGGCTTACTACATTGAAGACCAAGATTATCAAGCCGACCGTTCACTTATATATATTCATTTATTATCAATTGTTAAAATAAATTTGTTTTGTTAGACAGGAGTGAATAGTCATTTTATTTAGTTGTCCTATAGGCCTAACAATTGAAGAATAAACCAGGTGAGTCAATTCATTCAAAGTGTTTACTAAGCCCCACATTTCATATATATATTCTTATTGTTTCTTCTCACACAGTGTCATAAAAGGTAATAGATCCCCGAATTCCCAATCACAGTTAAACACCCTCAAAAAGTCGATATCCAGTGCAGGGGTTTTGTTTGTTTTAATAATTCACTAGTGTAAATAACCTAGTTCCCCAATATAAAAGCGGAAGGCTATGCGCCTATTCCCGCCAAAACAATCATTTAAAATTAACTTCCTGTAGGTTATTTACATAACATCATTCATAAAAAAATATAGATAAATTAATTTACCTCATGTTCAAGAAATAGTGCTTTAAGTGTTCCCTTGGACCAATAATCCATTGCATAAGCTAATAATTTCATAGAGATAGGATTCACTCTCAAGAAATTTCCAACAAAAACAACCTGTGGAAAAAAAAACAACAACATTATTTTGTTTGATAACAGAATAATTTAAAAAATTAAAATGAATTGAAAAATTTCTCACCCTATTAACTTTTTCATTAAGAGCACACATTCTTGCAATCGACCCAATATTATTAGTGATAGTAACTAGGGTTGCTCTTGCTAAGTCTTCTCTGGATACATTTTGTCTCTTATCCAGTGAATTCATTTGTCCAAAACTAATGACATAATAAAATAATATAATATATAAATACAAAATAAAATGACAGTCAAAGGTGGATGAATACCGTGTTAATAATGATGACGTTTACAATTTCAAGGCCATTATAAACGATATCCACAACTGTATATTTATTTTCAATTACAAAAAAAAAATTTATGTACTAAAACAATTCACTGACTTTTCCCATTATTCCAGGTTGGTCGCTACCCTGTTTAAGTAAATCGATTAATTAATTTCAAACTTTATCATGTGGTAATTAAAAAAAGAAAAAAAAAAGACTACACAAATAACTTTATCCGTCTTAAGGGACAGAAAATGATGTATAACTTCATCGAAATATAACTGGGTTGTTAGTGTCTATGAATATTGAAACTCGCTAAAGTTATCATGTGGCTTCTACGATCCAGAATAGCTCTTTCTGTTCCATACGTCTATGTATGTCATTATTCAAAAAACTTCTGGAATAGTATGTTGTGTAAACACACAGAAGGTAAATTAATGAATTGCCAGAAGAGTTTAGGGTTTCATTCAGATGTGGGAGGAACCTTACGTAATCGGTTATTTTTTAATTATATAGTTTTTTAAACAAATTTATTTCTCATTAGATAATAAATTTCTTAAAATAAAATAGTTTTCACTATTTTAAGTTTTTTTCATGACTGCCACTCCGGACTATCTTCTTCCTCAATATTATACAACGATCAACCATTCAGTACCCAATAACAAATTTCTATATTGAAATAAAAATAAAATAAAACATATTCAAATGTGCCATAAATATTTTAATTGATATTTACCTGCTCGCTACAAGTTCTCCAGGTAGACCAAACCTTGCATAGTCACCGCCGTAAATATCTTTGACAAGTTTGTCTACTTTTGTATTATCGCCACTTGTAGCTAATTCTATAGCTTCTTCGAAAGTTTTGCATCCCGTAAGGAGGCAACATAAACCAAGGAATGTCCCACCGCCCAAGCTGAAAATTCAACAGAACATATATTACACTGCTGTGTAATTTTTAATATCACCACCAGCAAATTTAGATTGCTACTAATTATTAAATAATTTATTTGTCAACTATATTTATTGTGTTTATGAGGCCAACTCTATTTGTATGGTGGCTATTCCCCCATTATTGTTAAATATTTTAAACAAAATTTTATAACATCTCTCTATATTATAAAAAAGTTTTTAGTGATTTTCATATTTTATTTTAGTAGTAGGATAGTAGGAGTTAACAGGAGCTCGGCAATAGTTATACAAATTATACAGCTTTTCATTTAATTACGAATGTATTGAGCTCCTCTTGAGCTCCTAATCTCCTAAAACAAAAAACAGATTTTAGACTAAACATTTCCATACAGGAAATGTTTATTTTTATATTGATAAAAAAATAGTACAATCTGATCTACAGAATACATGTAAATTAAAGTTATACAACTTGAAAAACAAGTAGTACAATTAAATAACAGTTGTCTAATTTATAAAATGGGGGTTGGTCTGCCATCAGGCAGACAGGGAGTAGCTCTCTAGTTTAAAAAAAAATAAAGAAACAGTTTGATTTAACAGAATGAAAGAATAAAAAATTATTAACCTTGTTCCTGATATTCTCTTGTAACTTTTAGGACCATATACAGCCAATACGCTAACACCAGAACCAATGTTAACAATCTGAAAAAATATTATTTTGTTGAAATACATAAAAATGTGAAATATATGTCTGTTTAATCTTAGTAATAAACAGCTATTTTTTTTGCGTCTTGTTTTTAGCTGTGATTACAGCCAGAAAAGTGGACAGCCATGACGGCATATATTAAATTATTTTGCCGTGTCTTATTTTTAATGCCACTCGACTATTATTTCCTTGACTTATAAACATAGTCAACAAGTTGTTCAATAAATTTCATTATAGTTGTTAATGGTCAGAGCATGAATTTCTTTTTTTATATAAAATTTAAAAAATCTGGTGTGTCCACTCACACGACTTTTCAACCTATTTCCGAAAGATTTTTATATCTTTACATATGTCCATCAAGTATAAAAAAAAAAATTGAATTAATTTATTTTCCTGAAAATTGATCAAACAAAAGATTTGAGTATGATTTATTGTTTTTTTTTTACTCAAGGGGCTCTGAAATGTATAGATCTGTCGAAATCCATACATCGGAAATTTGATCTGATCGCAATACTTTCCTTACCTGGTATAAAAAGTATAGGTAGGAAAGCAATAAATTAAAACATGTGTAGAAAATAGAATATGCTATATCATCACTAATACTGGTGCGATTCCAATGATTATTTTTTGTTTTGTTGGTAATTTAATTACCTTTCAAAAGTTTTATTACAAATTTTACCACAGGATATATACTTAGCGAGTTACCAAAACATTTTTCTTTTCTTTATAACATTTTTCCTGAATTTTCTCAGGAATTTAGTCCATGTACGAAAATTGAAAGAACAATTATTAGAACATTATAGGAAAGTTTCATCAAAATAGTTAGAGTCGTTTTCGAGCTATAGTCTATAGAAAAACATGCTTTTCATTTATCAGTAGTCAAAACTCTACAAAATAAAAAAAGGAGCAAAAAAATCAGTCCACTAGTTTCCGAGAAAATTATGGCACAGACCGACAGACCAATGGCTAAAAACGTGTTTTTCGGACTCAGAGGGCTCTGAAATGCATTGATCTGTCAAAAACAGCATATCGGAAATTTGACCCAATTGCAATACTTTCCTTACCTAGTATAGGTAGGAAAGTAAAAAAGTGATACATTAACATCTTTTTACACCAATATTTAAGAGAAGAAGAAATAGAAAATAGGTTGAAAAGGAATCTTTTAACATTATATTTCATAAAAATATTCTTTTTTGATAGAACGTTCAATTTGAGGTAAAGGAACAACTATGCATACCAATTGAAGTGTAAAAGTTATTTCATTTTATTTTGGGTACAAAAATGTAAATGTAGCACAGATTATTTTTGTTCAATATGACAGTCCATAATATTTTTTTTACTTTCCTACCTCTACGAAGTAAGGAAAGTATTGCGATAGGGTCAAATTTCAAAATTGTTTAACCTGTTTTATTGAAAGGTAATGAAATTCCTTACAAAAGTATATAAAAATTGTTCATTTTGGACTACTATTATCAAAGTTACAACAATTTTAATTTTGTATGTAAGATTACAAGTTCAAATCCCCGTACTAGAAATTTATTGATGAATGAATATATTGATTTATGTTAATATATGACATTTTTTTATTTTATAATACAATTTAAAAATACTTACTAAAAACGGATAAGGTGCGCTGAAGTCGTAACTCTCTTTCCTGCATTTTTCGTTGTCTGTAGGATCTTTCCAATAATAACATTCTCTTGGGTTATTCATTTCAACGAATAACATGCCACGTATCAAGGAATCTAACTCATCAAATTTTGCAAGTTTCATATTGACCTCCTACAGAAAACAAAAAGAAAATACAAATTAATAAATAAATACTATAGACTTATTATACAAAAGAAAAACAACATCAAAGTTTCTTGACTATATTCTTTATATCAATATTCTAGGCTTGAAGCGTAAAAAAACAAAAACATAAAGTAGTATTCCAAGAGAGCACACAACATGTACTCTCCTTTCTGTGCTATTATTTAAAACTAAATTATAATGAAAATATTCATTTTGAATAGATCACTGACGATTCCAGTTTATAAGGAACCTAAAATTAAAAATACAATGGTTCTTTTTACTTTATCTTACCTATATATGTAATGTATAGTAAGAGAAAGTATTGTGATGGTGAAAATTTTGGAATCAGAGTTTTCAACAGAAATACATGTTTTGAGGTCGCTTGAGTCAAAATAATTAAGTTCCGCAAAATGGCCTCTGTGTGTGTGTGCAGCCTAGCTCAAAAATGAAAAGTCGTACAAAACTGAAATTGCGTATTTAAGGTTTGTATATAGCTCAAATGTGACAGCAACTTTTTCGTTAAAATCGACTGACCGGAAGTGCCACTTTATATTATTGATTTTACACATTTTTAAGGTTTTCTCAAAAACGGCTCTAATGATTTTGATTTAACTCGGAGTTATGAAAAAAAGACTTAATATAACTTTTAAAAGAATTTGATTATTGAATAAAGGAGAAAAAAAAAAAATGCTTATCCAGGTCGAAAATGAATCTCTAGAAATAATAGTCAGAAGGTATATGTATAATACATCATTGGAAAGCAGAGAGTTTTAGAAAAAAATAATATTTAATAAATAAAGTCGTAGAAGGTAAAGGGAAGTAAAAAAAAAAGATATAAATAATATTTGTGAAAACTAACATTATATAACATATATCATATGATTTAAAGAAAATTAAATGAAATTTTCTTTCTAAATGTAAACTTTAAAAAAAAAAGATCATCTCCATGCATAACCGTTGACTAAGAAATAGTACTTTCTCTAAATAGTACTGAACACAAGATCCTTCATGGATTGTAGTGGTACATAGAATTCATTAGTCATTTGAAAATAAACCGCTAAAAGAGAATATACTAAAAAAAAAAAAAATTTAAGTAAAAATATTTGGCGTGTCTCCGTTTCATAATTTTTCTCAAAGCTTTTTTGTACTAAATTTGATACAAAAATAGTTCGCAAACTTTGCAAAATAGAAAAAAGGAATCGATCACGTCATTTAAGAAATTCAATTGGCACAGACACATGTTTTATTGAGCTCAGAAATTTAGAAATCTGTTGAAAAATAGATATAATTATTTTGATACAATCGCAATACCTAAATGGTACGGAAGGTAAAGAATCATTATTAGAGTCATCGAATAATTGGAAGAAGTATGTAAACAACACACACTGTAATTTAAAAAAATTAAAATCAATTATTACTGAAAACTAAATGATTTTGATGTTTGTAACATATTTTTTAAAAAAACTAAAGGATTCAGTTACATTTGGATCCTTTTCAAGGATGCAAACAAAAATAATTTAAAATCTATAAACTAAACCATTTTTACCTACACGTGCAAAAGTTTCTTCAAATTTATAAGCTCCTCCTCCCGTAGCACAAACTGTAGTGATTAACGATGCCATGCCTTGTCGTTTGGCCAATGCTAAGAAATTAGGCATTTCACATGTTGGAAATCTGATAAAATGAACAGATCCCTTCCTACCTCCAATTTCAATATCATCCATCTGGAAAAAAGAAAAAGAAATTAGAAATTAAATAAACAAAAATAAACTAATGGAAAAATTGAATCTTATACAAGACAGGAGTAAAAAAATTTCGATCATTATAAACATAGTTTCAGTTTTCAAAAATAAATTAGACTAAAACTTTTTAAACCCTAATGTAAAGTTGAAATGGTTCTATGGATACGAAACATGGACGCTTACATTAAGAGATCAGTAACGTCTTAAGGTTTTTGAAAATAAAGTATTGCGCAGAATATTCAGGCCGAAGAAGGATGAGTCAACCAGAGAAGTTAGATGGATACATAATGCTGAATTGCGACACCTGTATCCGATTAATATAATTGAGATGATTAAGGTGAGGCGAATAAAATGGGCATGTAAAATTACTGGGCTTAGTGATGAAATAATCCCTAAAAAATTAATATATGCTGTGCCAACTGGCAAGCATCTGAGGGGTAGATTAAAGTGATGGTGGGAAGATTGAGTTAAGGCTGATCTAGTGGGGCTTGGTTTAGGAGCCCGGTGGATGGAAAAATGTGGACATTGAATGATGATATTGGCATCGAACCTTCAGATTCGTTAAGCCTTATTATTTTTAATTTAAAGTTGAAGAATTAATTTGTTAAAAAACAATATTAATTTCAGAACCTGTATTAATTACTGGGCTTAGTGACGAAATAATCCCTAAAAAATTAATATATGCTGTGCCAACTGGCAAGCGTCTGAGGGGTAGACTAAAGCTATGGTGGGAAGATTGCGTTAAGGTTGATCTAGTGGGGTTGGGTTTAGAAGGAGCCCGGTGGATGGAAAAATTAATCAGTGTTTTTCTCTGCAAAATAATTATTCACGAAGGTGATTGCCTTTTCATTTGACAAAAATCTGTCTTCTGAGCACAATTTTTAGATAAGGGAGCAAAAAGAAGTCGCTTGGGGCTAGATATGGTGAGTAAGGTGGATGGTCAAGCAGATCAAACCGTGTAATTCGTGGATTTTCACCATGGCAACCACTGAGGTGGGAGACGTCTTGGTGAGACAAGATTTTCTTTTTCTGCAAATGTGGCCATTTTTCCGCAAATTCTGCCTTCAGCTTGTCAAGTAATGATGTGTAGTATGCTTCTATAATGATTTTTCCTTTTTGAAGATAGCCAATTAAAATAATTCCACGACTATCCCAAAAAACAGTCACCATCACTTACGAAGCCGAGAAAACAGTTTTTGCTTTTTTTGGAGCTGGTTCCCCCTTTGCAGTCCACTGTTTGGACTGTATTTTTGCTTCGGGCGTATAATAGTGTATCCAAGTTTCATTGGCAAGTACAGTAATAAATCAGCGCCAAAACTCGGATTTATTGCTCTTAAACTGCGCCAACAGAGCGTTGGAAATGTTCATTCGAACACATTTTTGGTCTAATGTGAGCAAACGTGGCACCCAACGTGTGGACAGCTTTCTCATATCTGAATGTTGGTTTAATATGTAACAAAGACGTTCTTTTGACATGTTCACAACCTCTGCTATCTCTCTCACTTTAATTCTGCGGTCGTCTAGCACCATTTGGTGAGCTTTGGCGATGTTTTCGTCGGTTGTTGCAGTTTTTGGACGTCCCGAATGTTCATCGTCCCCCAAGCTCTTATGGCCAAGTACTGTGGTCCCAAGCTCTTACTGCTCAAAATTTCACTGTGGTAAATGATGGTGCAGAGTTCCCATACATAGAATCCAACTCATCTTTGATTCCTTTCACAAACAAATTTTTAATGATAGCTTGATACTCGATTTTCCCCATTTTCACAAAAACCCTCACATCAACTCACTCAAATGACTGTTACATAAAAACTGTGCATCCAAAATGGTGCGGGGATTTAAAAGACTCCCCTGGCACCGGGACGCGAACTCGTGACTATTTTAAATCCATTGTCTCATAGATCAGGTTGACGGGTCTTTAGTGGGTAACTGTCAACAGATGAACAAAAAAATTCATTTGCTTTTATTTACAAGTGCTGCCATCTTCACGTTGCAGTCAGAAACTTTTCAGACCACCCTCATATAAAATCATGAGAGCTAGAAAATGGAACTACTATACCGTATTAAAAATATTGTAGATTATTTGAACTTTTCATAAAACTGGTTTAATATTTAATATAGAATTTTCAAATTATCCTTTTATCAAACAAATCTTTCTCTTATAGGTATTTTGAACACAATTAATATGATACGGTTAATGTCTTTTAATGTAAAAGATTCTAGACTCTGGAATCTTTTAAATACTAAAGTGTATGATCAACTCTCTCAAATTTCAAAGGAATGACAAATTATTTTGAGCCATGCATGAGTTATAGATCTGAGCTTTTGGCAGTCAAGTTATAGAGATAATATTTTAATTAGAGAAACAGGACTTCAAAGAACAGAAGTTTTAGATATGAATTATAGATAAATCTTTAAAGGTTATCTTAGATTATAAATAGTCAGGAATATCAGTCATTTATTAATTATGGGTTAAGATATTTTGACCCAAGTTTGTGGGTCATCATCAGGGCAATTGAATTATGCAAAAATGATGTAAGAAGTTAAGTGTACATTGTTATCAAATGTGGGAAGTTGTAATTATCTCTTAATGTTTTTTTTGAAAAAAGGTATAAAAAGAAAAGGTTTATAAGATAAATAAAAATAATAAAATTAAATAATAAGTAAAATAAAAAGTAAATAAGTAGACAATTTGTGAATAATTAACAGGTACGATGCAAAGACTTTAAAGACATCCAAGATAAGTTGTAATATAAAAGTGAAAACAAACAAAACAAAGTCTCCTCAAGGAACTGGATAAACATTTGTAAAAGAATTTGAGTTATCGAGAGAAGATAATGAGTATAAAGTTGGCTATGAATATTATGGATAAGAACATAAACACAGCATTGAGTTCATTGATAGAATTCAGCCTGTTCCTTAATTCAGTGTTTGAATTACTGATGGCTCAGCAGTTTCATCAGATTTTGGGGTCGATAGATCCGTTGGATGTAACGTCATTACAATCTCAATGTTATCTCTCAATTGAATTTACGTATTTATAAATAGTTTACTTTCTATCTATATTTATTTTTGTTTTAAATTCAAAAACTAGTAATTTCCTTACATATTTTTTATTTTGCAAGTGTAGATTAACCTGCCAGGAATTTTAATCTTCTGCTGGCCTCTATCAGGCTATTCATTAACTCATTAAAAATACCTGCCCATTGATGAAATCCATCGATGGAATCAGTACTGAGTTTGCGAACTTGGTCTTCATAATAAATATTTATGAATGAAGTATATTAGGTATTAAGCTTATTAGCTCTTTTTGCATCCACCACTCTCATTACCTTGTAACTTTTATTAAAGTGGTAATTTCAAAATTTTATTAACATACCTGGAGATGTATATCCCGATGACCAGTTTTCCCATAGGCTGAATTCTTGGTCAAGTACCTCCGAATATTTTTTAAAACTTCCACTTCCTCATTTTCTTCATCAGGAGTAATATCTTTTGGTTCAAAATAGACTAATTTTGTTAAAGTGCCTCCAATATCCATGCCAAACCATGGCATACCTAAAACGATATAATAATAAAAGATAGGAATTGAAGAATATAAATACAGGTCATAAAACGCAAAGTGCACAATTCTAACTATTTGGGAGAAAGAGAGATGGTAAATAATGGTATTTTTTGGTTGTCCAATGAGCAAATTGTTTTAAAATTAAAATTAAGAAATTATAAATAGTTAATTTTGGTGTATGTAGTTTGAAAAACAATCAAAAAGAGTCAGTCTAAATGAAGAGGAATTCACATTTAAAAACAATAGCGGTAAGTTTGGGGGGGGGGACGAGTCCTTGACTAAAGGGGGTGGGCATTTCTGCTCACAGAGTATACGAACAAGTGATTGTATTACTGAGTTCAAAGAAAACAAATCAATGGAAAGGAAAATAATACAAACAATACTGAATATAAAATAGTAATAAAAAAACAATAACTCTAAACAGAATGTATTTAAATTAATTACTTCAGAAAATTATCACCAACTAATAAAAAATCCATTAAAAATAAACATTAATAACTAAAGTTTTTGCTTATATAAAGTGTAGCATATTTTATTACTCTCATTAATTTTCAATATTATTTTTTTTATATAGAAATATATCTTATAATTAGCCATTATAAATTCAAGAAAAAACAGTTTTTCATAAAAGTGCTTTACAATTTTAATGGAAATCAATGCTAATTTATTCAGTAATTAAACTAATACTCACAAGGATAATCTGAAGATTCAGACATGCTTCTACCGTTAGGAATACTTCCACTAGCCATCCTTAATCGTACACACACTTTACAGCTTCTAGGTGCCATCTAAAAATTTCAAGTATACTTCAAAATTATCTTAATAAAAACAAAACAATTGAGTTTATAATTTCATTAAGATTTTTACAAACGAGCAGTCGAGTACTATATTGCTAATATGGCAAGTGCCAACGGAAAAAGCAATTTAAGATAATGTTGACATTCAAAATAAATACCTTCAGGAATATAAAAAGTGGACAGTTTGCCACCCCAAGGATAACTACTTCACAAAACACTTATGTTTAGATAAGAATGACTATGACGTCTATGAATGTAACGTAAACTAAGATATAATATTCTTTTTCCCGAATAATAACAATAATGGTTCATTTAATACAAAACATTTTAGAGGAGCACTTAAAGACTTATGTTTCTTACTGTACAAAAAACAAAATTTATGAGACTAAATGACATCAGAGTGATTGTATGCAAATAAAACTCTCACATGCATTATCTTATATTTTAATGTAATTCTGAATACTAAATTATAAAGAGCCATCCAGATTACATATAAGGTCTTATCCTATCAGTATAATATCAACCATGAAAAAAATCATAACAAAAAACTTACACACTACATGTATAAATCATCTTCAGGACATTCATGTAGCATGCAAGGTCAAACCAATCAGGCTAGTACAAATTTCAATCATGTCCTTCAAAAAAATAAAACAGATAAGAAAAAAAAAGTGACATTGTGTGCATTACATCAGCAGAAATCCTAAATGAATTGAGAAGGTTCCTATCGATAACAGCACCAGCAAAATAAAACCTTTTAAGTGGAAATAAATAAAGAGTAATTAAAATATACAAGGTCACTGAAAATAACTGTTGCAAAAGCAGAGAAAGCCAAGGCAACATTTTAAAGTTATCACCAAAAACACTTTCCTTCTATCATAATAGCCTTTCAAACTAAAGATAAAAATAAAATGAATTTGGAAAGAGAAGTTTACATGAAAACTTCTCGATAATTTAAAACCATAGTACATAAGCACACATACCCTCTAGTACTCTTATCATTTTTGATCCAATAAAATTATTTGATTTTATAGTACTTTCTTCACAATACATATTGAACTAGGTCATGGTATGTAAAAATTAATAGGACTTGATAAAAATACTTAAGCATAGATAAGTATAGGAAAAAATCATTGTTTTATTGGACTTTCGTTCCGCAATTTTTTTCTATATCTGGTGCGGTACTGATTAGGACATTTTAGGGCCTTTTTAAAAGGTAAATTAAAATAAAATACAATGGTATGTATTGCTATTTCACAATAACAAAACAACTATAAACCAGCTCAATGATAAGGAACCATCGGCTGAAATCACGTGATGTTATCGAGTCTCGCAGATAGCGCGGTAGAGGGAACCCCGATCGCTCAACCTGTCTTCTCATTACCTTCTCAATATGTGAGCTCATCAATGAATTCATCATTAACATTAACTTTTAATAATTGTTTTTGTTTTATTTCATGTTTAAAATAAAATACGAAAAATACCATGGTTCAGTGATTGATCTGTGTGCTTACCAAAAGACTCTTTGATATTTTAAAATAATTTCAAAATGAGTTCCAATCCTGTGACATCTCCCATCAAAAACATACCCTCTTGCTGGGAAGATGATAAAAGAATGACAGCTTTATATGCACCATTTAGAATAAGAGAGGCTAATCCTGTAGACTATGATTCGAAAATGAAGTTCTGGGAGAGTAATATTGAAAGTTGGTGTCTTGAAAAGAATAATTGCAAATTCAGTATAAAAATACTCCAACAAGAATTCAAACGAAAAGAACGTGTCCCATTATGCCTAAACACAGTTATTGAAAACTTGGAAAGGTCAGTTTTATTCAGTTATTACTTTTGTATATTGAATAAATTCCCAGAATCATGAAAATACAACCAATGTTTATCTAAAGTCTGCAGGATTACAGGATTAAAACTAGTTCTTACATCAGTACTTAGTAATTATATCATTAAGTATATCTCACTGTTGATATAAAGGTGCTTATTACTTTTACACTAATCAGTCTCGTAAAATCATACAAACAGAGCCGAGAAACGATATCAACTTTTAAAATGTTCGCCGGTATTTTATTTAATACTGGGGTTTTATCTGGACTTAGACCTGCTACTTTAATGTTTCTGAAGGTTTAGGAAGTGTAACAATCAGGTTAGAAAGAAATGTGTCAGGGATAAGGTCAAAGTATGTGATTTGGCCTTTAAAAGCCTTAAAAATTGTATTTCCTATCTGAGAAATAGAAGTTTAAATTTTGCCCAATGAAAAAATTAATTTAAAATATGCAACTTTTAATTGTTTTATTTTGATCTCACCTTTTTCATCGCTGGTTGATGAAAATGAAATATGTATTTTGAACTATCTAAATTTATGAAAGATATTACTACTCACAAAAGTTTATCAACAGATAATTGAATTGTGGTTTATGATGGGTTGCGAAACAGTGGTGGTCACTAAAAGAAGTTTCTATAAGGTCAAATAAGCAATAATAGAAATTTTAAAACATTAAGACTTGACATAGTATTAAACACTCTGCATATTTATAGGAACTGTTTTACTACAGGTTTATCCATACATTCTTTCAAAGCACTTATTTGTCGAGCTTGATTATATTAAATAATTAAAATAAGAAAGAAATTGAATGTTGTATTCTTTCAAAGAAAATATATCTATTTTTTCGTTCGTTAATCTATTATTGACCTATGTATTTTATTTTTATTAAGGTATACATTGTGTTTGCCAAAAAAGAAACTACTCCTATTTTGGCAGTGTTTGCAAGACACAGTTTCTCATAATTTTTAGTTTGTGTCTAACGATGTCTCTATTTAAGTTCCTTTAACTTCCCCATCTCTGTCAAGGGATTATTGTTAATATTGTTGTTTATTTTTTAAATTATTCAGTAAGTTTTTAACTAGACCTAAATTTCACAGTTGATCTTGTTTAAAATTGTGATTCTTGTGTATTCTAACAAAATATTAAAAAATAACTGTATCGATTTACTTGTGATGTTTCTCTTTAAAATTATCATTTTGCTATTTGAATGATAAAAAACATTACGTATTCGGCTCATAGTATGGGTGGCTTTATTTGCTTCTATTTGTAAATTAACACAGTGGTATTATTGATTACAAAAATAAATCATTATTTCTATAACTATTATTAAATTAATTATTATTGATTTAAATAAATTAAGTATAAACCAAATTTATTTTACTTCAAATTAAAATTAGTTGAGTTTCTTATTGTTCGTATTATTTTATTTATTTATTTTTAGCGCATTCTATGTTTTATTTTTATTTTACATAGATGCTGTAGTTCAGTGTCAGTATTCCGCTGAGTATATATTAAATAGTATATCTATATAATAGTATATATTACGATACATTAGTTAGTTTATCTATTTAATATTTTGGTTTTAGAAAATTTTCAATAACTTTAATATTAATAATTGTGGATCGATGGTTGGCTGTTGTGAATAATTGAAGGGAAGAATGGTTGGGGTGATCAGTAAAAATAAATAAATATATTTATTTTTATTTTCGCCGACGTTTCGATCCAAAGTTCAGACTGTCATCATGGCAGATCACACTAAGGGTTTGGCAAGACGACTAATATTCAGCTAATGATGGTAATTGTTGACTAATGTACTAATATTCGGCAAGACAACTAATTACTAATTTTTTAAAAATTATCACCCCAATCATTCAATTTAATATTAATATTGTTTTATAAATACAGATTGTTATTTCTTGAATTTATGTGAGATTCGTTATATCCACCATCACTCCTAAATCAGCTTATTTGGCAATGTATGCTACAAGATACCATAGACATAGACTTTCTATTTCAATTAGAGGGAGATTCAAAATAAAATTTTAATTAGGGGCAATGGACCAAAAAACAATGAGTGTTTACATTATATTAAATGTATACAATCAACATAATTATAGTGAAATGAACAAATACAATAATGAATATTTAAAAATAAATTTATATAGTTGTAGGTTTTTTTTTGTTTTTTTTATGCACATGTATATAATTTAAAATATCCAAACAAAACAATTGAAGAATATAAAAATACATTTCTGACTCTCATTGGGGGAGGGGGCGATAGTCCCCATAAAATCTGTACCTATGCAAGATGTTTAATATCAGCCAACAACGTACTATCATTTTTAAAACTTTAAAATTATCTTTTTCAAATCTTAAATAACAAAATTAACAATTTTTTAAATTTTTTTAATTTCTATTCTTGCCAAATTAAGAGTTAAACTTTAAAAGATTATTTGTTGAACTTATGTTATAAATAATCTTATCGAATACGTTATGAACATTTTCAAGTCAAGGAAATTTCAATGGTGATATATGATGATAATTATTTTTAATTTGATAATTTTCAGGATAGGAAACATTAAGCTAAAGGAAGACATATATAGAATGAATCCAGAGGAATCTTGGACGGAATGGGCTGTAAAATGTTTTGTGAAAACTCCAGTAATATGGTCTTTTGCTAAACTTAAAACGGCTTTAATGGAACAAGACATTGACGATTTAGAGTACGTTTACATCACTTATCTGAAGGTATCTATATCTATCTTCTTTCTAGAACTTATAAATCTTTACTTTTTCAAACTGATTAAATGTACTCCTTTGTGTTATAGAAAAAGAGTGAAGAAATTGTTTTACGGAAAGAACAACAAAACAAAAGTTTGTATAATACAGCCGAATTCCAGAAACTGTTGACAACATGTGAAGGAATAGACATTAACCCTGAAACATTTGAAATACTTATATTGTGGATGCAGATAAATAAAATTATTCAAGTCCATAAATTAGAAAACGATACGCTTTTTAAATTTATCGATGGAAAGAAAAATATTTCAATCACGGATGTTGATGTTTCGATATATATGCTTGAAAAAAATAAACTGTCTATCGAAAAAGCTATAGAAACATTAGAAGAAGAAAAAGAAGAACTTATTCAAACAGCGAAAACGTTTTTGAAAAAAGGAATGAGAGATACAGTAAATATGTTTATTGTATATTTATTAATATACTAACCATCTACAGCTAAAATAAAAGTATGTTAGCTGATTGTGTTATTACTTTTATGCTATGAACTATTGTTAACTTAACGGTATGTAAATTTTAGTATTATTATTAGTGGAAAATTAAACCAGGATTTATTTTATTACTGTTTAATAAAATTTGACTTAATAATTATATGGTACATTGAAGTTTTTGGGGATCTCGCTTAATAATTATAATGTCTGCTTAGTGGAAGTAAGTAATTTTTCAAAAATTTCTTTTTTTTATCCATTGTTTTTAAATAACTGTATTCTTTCTGAATTGTTAAATATTTGGAGATTTTAATGAGTGTTAAGTGGTTAGTTTAGAACCGTGGTGGATGTAGAGTTCATAAAAACAATATCTGAGTATATTTGAACAATCGTTTGTATAATGATAATTTGAGTATTCTGATTTTCGGTGCCTTGCATATTTGCTTGGTGAATCATACAAATTGGGCAATGATAAAAAATTGATTTTTTTCTCTTCTGATTAGAATGTGTGAATGAATGAAGTAATTGTTTTTTTTCATATTTACAAAATAGCAAAATCAAATAAATAAATTTATTGAACACTTAGAGGATAACCCATCAGCTTGAGTGGCTTAAATTACAATTTTATTGTGTATATATTTTTTTTAAAAGATAAGATAAAAAAAGAAAAATATAAAAAAAAAAAATCTTAAATTTCTGACTTCAATTTCAGACATATTGTTCCCAAATGTGTATCTTCTAAATTCTCTGAGAATAGGACAGATATCATGAAATGGAAAATATCCTCTGGTTTCTTAAGATTGCTCAAGGAACAGTTTTCACAGTCGTTTATGTTTTCAGACTTTCCTGTTCAAGTCGAGTGTTTTAACTATTGGTCCAGTAGTTTCGGAGAAAATGCGTGGACAGTGGACGGACGAAAAAGATTTATTAATTTTTCGACTTATACATATCCAGAAATGTAAAACCTCAAATTTTGAGAGGGGGTTAAGTTTTTGATTGTTTTGTTCGATTACAATAGTTCATCATTGAAAATAATAAACCAAAAGTTTTTAAATTTCTACTATAGGAAATAACTAAAAAGCATAATGTTTTTATACTGATGTACCGTTTACATCAATGTTTGCCTTTAAGTGTTTTTAAACGTTGATATATCGATATTTGTTATCATCACAAGACTTGGCCCGCAGGAATTTGTGGAGGTCTCGATGTGGCCCATAGGAAAAACAGTTTGGAGATTCCTGCCTTGAGATATTATAATTAATCATTGATACCTTAGGAGAAGCCTGACATTATTCTATAGATAACAAAGTAGCTATTATTATTGTGTTGAGGGATGGTAAACCTTTATGGATCTTTTGTGAGATAAAAAAAATATTTTTAATGTGTGATCAGCCAAAAAATAGATTGACTAATTATTTTTTTTATCTCACATCTACCATTCAACAATGTTTTTAGATTTTTATAAATAATTAGATTTATTGGGTTGGCAAATAAGTTCTTTTGGTTTTTATGTCACTATGATACACTTTATATCCGATGAATTAATCCCTATGGTGGATTGTTTATCCTGTTTATAAAATGTCAACAACTATATCTGTTAACTCTTGTTGAAACTAGCTTAGTATTGTGTTTGCTATTGCACTATGAATATTTAAGAAAATATCATTCATTATCGGTATATTTTGTTGTATTATTTTAAAAAAGATAAACGTGCTGCAGAAACTCATAGAAAAATTTGCAGTATTTATGGGAATGATGCCTTAACCGAACACACCTGTCAACATTGGTTTGCCAAATTTCATTCAGGCAATTTTGACATCAATGATGCTCAACGGTCTGGTCGCCCACATGAAATTGAAACGAGCAATGTTAAGGCCTTTGTTGACCAAAATCCCATCTAATCAGTGTGATAGATTGCTATGGTCCTAGATATGTCGCACACAAGCGTAGAAAACCATTTTCACAAGCTCGGCTATGTTTCCAGGTTTAATGTTTGGGGCCCTCACATGATTTTTTTTTTCAAAAATCACAAAAAATGTTATAACTTCAAATTGACATTAGCTATACAAGAAAATTAGCAGAAATTTAGGGCCACATAAACTTAACAAAATGACATCAACAGGACCTTTGTAAACAAACTACAAATGGAGATAAAAAATAAAAACCTACAAGGAGTTTTTGTTTATTTATTCCTTATATAGGCATTAAATAAAAGAAAAAAAAACATTCATATGGTTTTGAAGAGCAATAATTCAGTTTTCCAATGGATATAGTAACATCGAATTTGGAGAACATCCTGAAGAGTTATGAATGGTCGGGTGGGTGTTGTGTTCCACCAAGACAACGCTAGGCCACACACCTCATTGGTCACTCGCAATAAATTATTGAGTCTTGGACGGGACTTTTGACGAGACTTTTGCCTCACCTCCCTATTTACCAGAGCTAGCTCCAAGTGACTACCACTTATTCCGGTCTCTGCAGAACTCCATGAATGAAAAGAAATTCCAAAAGGAAGAGGACATAAAAAAACACTTGAATCAGTTTTTTAACGATAAACTGCAGACACTCTATGAACATGTCGGCAAATGTCAAAATAAATATTATCATTTATTTTTGCCTTCTTATTTGACTGATCACCTCAACTATTCTTCTCCTCATTATTCACGACAGTCAACTATTTAACCATACATTAAGTTTTATTTCACCCTGAAAAACCGAAAGAACTTATTTGCTAACCCAATATATTAAAATATAAAGTATTTTTACCTTACTTAGTTCCATTGAAATGCTGAATAGTCAAATGTATTATGTTTTAGGCAAAGAGCTACTTAAGGAGAAAAAAGGCTCTTGAGAAAACACTCGAAAAAAGAATTAACACATCCGAAAATATTGAAATATTACTGTCCAGAATTCATGAAGTTTCTTCAGATTCTAAAGTAATTACAAACAAGTTTATTTATTCTTATCTCTTTAACTGAAGTTCAAGTATGTTCAAATATTGCAAGTCATTTCTTATAAAATTGACTATTCTAAATATAATTTTCTTTTAATTTTATATTTTGCTTGCTATTTTCATACATTGGTTTTCGATTTCAGGTTTTAGAAACTTACAAAATTGGCCTTAATGCTTTAAAGGCAACTTTTAAAGAAAATGGCCTCTCTGAAGATGACGTGACAAACACTATTTCTGAAATACAGGAGGTAAGTAGTAAATAGTTATATTTTTATAGTTAATTCTCGGTGTTTTATTTTATTTAGGAATAGAGCAAATTGCCAGTGTTATTCATTTAGGCATAAAAGTGAGAATCCTTATAGATTTTTAAATAGTACATTTAGCTCCCAGTTAGATGAAATGATCACAACTTTAAGGCCAGTAATCCATTAGAACTGGAAACGACAAAATACTTATTTAGTTGTGTGCGCAGAAGCTCAGATAAACATTGGATGGCATCTACTACACCCTATTTGATCAAAGCCAGTGGAAATTGAGTTTTCGGTTTCATTCGGTCTAATTGCTACCAAAAAGTTAATTTTGTTTTACTTTTGCTTCCTCACTACCAGAAGTAGGGAAACTTCGTATTTATGTGTGGTGTTAAACGAAGTTTTGTGCTCAGAAGTGATAATTTTCCTAATAAGACCTAGTGGAACCCAAAGGTTCAATTCTGATACCACCACTTGCTGTAAACACACTTCCATCCACTGGCCACTATCCAAACCTCCTTTAACGCAATCCTCCCACCTTCACTTTGTTGGTCTACCTCTCAGACGCCTACCAGTCTGCATATTGACCTTTTAGAGATTCTTTCATTACTAAGCCCAGCTATTCTACGCACTATTTTATTTTCAAAAACCTTAAACAGTCATTTAGATATTTGTGTTTTTTTAGTTCGTGAAATGTTTTTAAACGGACACAAGCAATTGTTTCTTAAGAAACTAAAATACTAGCTTAGGGAATCAACCATTTAGATATTTGTATTCCCATAGTTTGTGAAATATCTTAAGGCACCTTAAGACGTTCATCCCTTAATTTAAGCGGCAACATTTGCTTCCATAGAGAACCATTTGTAGAATAATGGTTTTATAAATTGTAATTTTTAAGTTTCAGAGCAGGAGACGCAAGATGAGTAATTTTGCTACCGAAAAATAATAATCATTTACCGTTTTCCACCTAACCTTAAAATTATCCTAAATTTTTTTTTCTTAAAGAAAAACTCTTCAAATCAATTTAATTTTTTCTTTTTTTTAAACTGAAACTACTGTTACTTTTGCTTCCTCAGAGGTAGTTAAACTTAGTATTGATGCATAATGTTATACAAATTTTTGTGCACAGAAATGATAATTTTCACTTACGTTTTACATTTTAGATATAAAAAAATTAATTTGATTATTTATTGTAACAGCAAAAGCCAAAATTATATCTCAACCTTATGGAGTATCTGGAGATATATGAACATGGAGATATATCAGTTAATCTATCACAGAAATTCAGGAATTTATTATGATTTCTCCCAACATTTGATTAAGACTGTCGATGACATTGCTTAGATCATATATTTTTTCCCAAAAGTCTGGTCTTTTAGTAAGTTGGAATGTTAAGTTCATCGTGTATGGTATGGTTTGATATTAAAACTGGAATTTTAATCATTTTTCAAAAAATTTGGTTGTGCTTGTAGGAACTTCTTTTCGTAGGAACCCTGGATGTCCAAAAATATAGTTCAGAGGTAAATATTATTCGCAGGTTTTGTAAGTTGAATGGTGATCTTTGTTTTTAGAAGATGTGACAGCTGATTGTATCGTCTCATCTTTTTAGTTGAGCTCTTTTTCAAAATGCTATAAAACTTATTGAAGGTGACAAAATTTTGATGATCGAAGCAGCAAATGAAGTTAATTTGCTGATGTCAAAGATTTAACCTTTTTCTTATCAATTTATTTTCTTAATAATGATACCTTATTAAAAAGATCATCTTTGGGTTGTATATTAAATCCAAACAATAATGGATGAATTCTAACAACTAATCAACTAATCTAATTGCTAAGCAGTTTTTGATAATCAGTTCTCAACAATTATTCAGTATTATTAAAGTTTAACATTATATCCCAAAATCGGGGCACACGGGACTAAATGTTAAAAATCGTGACTGTCCTGCTGAAAATGGGATGTATAGTAGTCACCTTATATTTAGGACTATAACAAAATTTGGAGGCATCTATTTTAATTTTTCAATTGTGGATAAAGTAAATTGTTTAATTAGAAAATTTGTTCTCTCTTTCCTCAGAAAATGCAGACCCTAAAATCTCTAAACATTAATAATCTATTACGTTATAAAATTGGTATTATAAAAACTATCAATGGCCAGAGATATTGAACTATCACTGTAAAGGTGTTTTCACACATTAAAATGGGTTTATGCATTTCCCAAATGACTTATTCTTCGTTTTATCTGATGATATCTTTTACTATTCAATGTAGAGGTGTTTGCAAAAGGAGTTCCACGTCAAGGGCTGCTCTCTTGGCTTCCAGCTATCCGATTCCTTTTTCTTTAAGAATATTTTTGAAGTTAACCTTCTAAGTAATTCTTGGCTTTCCGCTAGATCGTTTTCCTGCTGATTTAGCCTCCATAGTATTCTTTGCGGAGCAGTCATTCATCTCCATTACATGAACAGACCATCGAAGCTGCTCTTTCTCTATTATTTGGTTGAGGGGTTCCCTTTTGGGTGTAGTCCATATCGGTGTATTATGTATCCGGTTTCTCTTGGTTTTACCCTCTATTTTCCTGGGATAACTCATTTCCAAGCTTTGGAGTGAAGTTTGAATCATGGTTGTGATCACATTGCTTTAGGACCCAGGATTCGCTTCCATAAGGACAAACATTGAGCAATAAACGGCTAATATTGTTTCTTTTGCCACTTCTCTCTTACTTAAAAACTTCTTATTGATGGCAAAGAACATCCTTCGTGAAGTGGTAAACCAAATTAATTTTGTTTTTTAATTTTCCACTCCCAATGATTGTTACAGCCTAGTACTTGAAGGTGGGAACCTCTGTGTCATCTCCTCATTAATGTGAATCCTCAAATTTTTCTTATCCAGGAACAAGAATTTGAGGATTCATAATTCTTGTTAAAAAGTTTGACATAAACTCTTGATAAACCAAAAATCACTTATGCCATAATGGGGAGGTATCAACATGCTTGCGTTGCAGAGAAATACTTTTGGCTTGAACAATTTTTATTTTTATTTTTTGGTAAATTAAAAAACAGATTATAATTGCAGATATGTGCAGAAATCTGGAGCAACACTAGCGCTTTAGTGACACTTTTTGCAAGCTGTCCTTAGATTGTCTCAAAAAATTGAAAACTCACTGATTTATCATAAAAAAGGGAAAATATGCGGGAGCCAAAAAAAAACAAAGCTTTTACCCACTCATGTTTGTTTGTCATGATTTAGATAATGTGTAAACTTGGCTTTGTCAAAATCATGTTAAACAGGAATATTTAAATTCTTAGTTATTTGGCAATAATTACTTCCAAATGGTAACAATTGATTATATTTCTTATATTATCAACGTTACATGTTAACAAGTTGACGTTTCGGGATATTTACTCCCATCTTCAGAACTACAATCTCAATAATCTTGTGGATGCAAGGCTAAAAAAATTTTTGAGTCAAAATATAGTGCATGTTACATTTTTTACATGTTACATGAAAAAAGAAAAAAAGAGCAATATTTAAATGAGGTTTTTGGCTGCTCATTTTCTCTGTTTGTGGCTCGTTTAGTCTACTGCCAGTTTTTGGGCATAAATCATATAGAATATTAGCGGAAAGCGCCACATTAGTTTTTGCTTGAAAACAAAGAAAAATATATTTGGTCTGTATATTTAATTGTTATTGTCATTTTTTTCGTTTTCTAATAAAGTTAGTTTAAAATAAATTTAAAACTTAAATATTTGCCTAGAACGGAAGCGTGTAAATACTCGTGCTTTTCTTTTTTTCTTTTTTTTTTTTTTTTGTTACATTGGATATCAGAATAAATAAAAACCAAAAACTGATGATTATGGATTGTGCGACTATTAGTTAATAAACTGTTATTTTACATTGCAAAGTTTATTAAAATGGAATTAAGAGATTTGCATCGTCTGTCATAGGCAGGTCAAAAGTTGTCACACTGATTGAAACTGGAATCTGTTGGGATATCACAAAGGGAAAATTCATAAAATTATTCAATAATTTAATTTTCTGAAAAGTTTACATTTAGTTAGTAAATTTCATTTAATTTCCTTGAAAACATGTGATTAAGCCCTGTAAAGTTACATCAACGGGGACAAGATCTAAATTATATTAAAGACCACTTAATTATACAATGATACACCAAGTATAATCAAAATTGTTAAAGCCGTTTTTAAAGAAAATTGTAAAAATGTGTTTCACCATTGATATAAAGTGGCACTTCCGGTTAACCGATTTTAAGAAAAAAGTTGCTGTCATATCTAAGGCATATACCTATCTTAAATATGTAATATCAGTTTTGTTTTTAAGCTAGACTGCTAACATACTAACACACAGACCATTTTTTGAGACTTGGTTATTTGGACTCAGGGTATCCCAAAACGTGTATTTTCGTAGAAAACTCAGATTCAAAAATTTTCTTGATCGCAATACTTGCCTTTACTATATATTACATATATACACGTAACTGGAAGTAAAAATATGTAATATATTCAATTTCTTTGCTAACATATTTTCAAATACACCCACACGCAAAAAAAAAAATTCAATATATATTTATATAAATATATAAATTTATTGTTATAAGTAGTATTATATTGCTCGTTCTACAACAATAATTAAGTTGATTATATTAATTATCACTTGTTAATATTCGAAATCTGATATTTTGCGTGTGTTAGGGGGAGTGTAAATTAGTTTATATTTTCTGTTGCAATTTAATTGTCTAAATCATATTGTTTTAAAAAGAACAAAGATGTTTTTATTAGTTATGATGTAAACAAGTTTTTGTGGATGATTTAATAAATGAATTAAAACATTTATTTTGAATTATATTTTAAAAATATAATATCACTCATAATTTTTATACATAATATAAATTCGGAAGACTTTGTTTTTGGGGGGAAAGGTCCACTCCTCCCCTCCCCCCCCCCAACCAGAATGGAAAGTCCTGTGCCTATGTGACTTTATACAATTC